GACTTACCGGATAAAGAAAAGTCCGATCCCGAAGTAGAAAGATTAAGAAGTAAAATCAAAGATACGAAACAAGAATTAAAAAAGGAAATGGGCAAAGGCAACACATACGATCCAGCGTCCGTCGATAAAAAGAATACTTTGAGAAAAGAGATCGAACGTTTAAAGTTGGAAAAGAAAAATGCTAAAATCTCCGATGCCAAAAAAATTGACAGTAAAATCAAAGAGAAGATAAAAGAGTTGAAGCTTGAAGAGGACAAAGGCAAAACATACGATCCAGCTTCCGTCGATAGAATGCATACTTTGAGAAAAGAGATTAAAGACTTAGCCTCGGACTCGAAAAAAGCATTGAAGGAAGAAAAGCCCCAGCGCGATGCCAAGATGTCGAAAACATTAAAAGCAATAGACCACATTCAGACTGGAATGAGCTTTGTCGAAGCGTCTGTAGACGTCTATCAGAAAATCAGTTCACAGCAGAATAAAATCGACGAGGTCGGCGATCTCATTCAAAGCGCCGAGCAGAAATTTCAACAACTGAAGCAATACGAGAGCAAAATTTACGATACCATTATTCCCGTTTGCAAAAACATCGAAGCTAATGTCAATCAGTTGCACGAACAGTTGGAGGGCAAATCCGCGGCAGCTCTCGTCGTCAGCAAGTGGAAGATCCAGGGCGTCTTGGGTGACGTCAAAAAGGAGATAAAAAAAATGACCACAGGTTTCCAAGTGCAGGATGAATTTGTGGACATTTTCGATAAGGTCGAGGTAGGTATAAACGTCATGATTAAATTGTACGACATGATAGACGAGTACAGTTACAGAGCCGAGCTCGGGGCGTATATCGCAAATATCAACAGTCATCCTTCCGAAGTAGATGTGACGAAAAATAACGATCTCAACGACGAAGTCAATAAATTGATGCTCGTGATTCAACAAAATATTGCAATACAGAATTACAAGATAGCCACCGACGTCGTCAAGCAACGAGTCTTTCCGTACGCACACGACTTTTTCGGTTCTTATAATTTACCAGAGGCTCTGAAGGTTAACCGCACCGATGAGACAGGAAATGCAGTTTCCAAGGAACTTGGCGCATTGAAAAATCAGCTAACACTTTCCGATTCGACAACCAACGAGCGGGATATCTACGTTCATCGCACGATTTTCGGCGGTAGAAACGGAACGTCCAAGCCATTCTACACGTGGAAATACAACGACCACAAAAGCAAGATAGCGAAGCTGTTGAACGGACAAGAAGTGGTGCTGAAAGCCGATATAAGGCACGGCTTCGAGGGCAACGCCGTGAAATTCAACAGAATCGGTATCTACTTTGCATCGGCAAATAAAACAATCGAACGCAAATTGAACGATTTGTTGCGAGGCTCTACCGTTACTCTGATCCATTTGGGCCAGTCGTTTTACAAGTGCGACGATAGAATTTACATGATTCCGAGTGCGAATCAGACCATCCTACTATCACTGGACCAGTACGTCGGATGCATAGACCCAACTACTACCAATTCAGTTTACGATAAGATCGCTAAAAATGAACCTGTTCTCAGTCCTTATGCCACGTGGCAGATGAAATTGAATATCCCAGCCGACCGTTTTGATGAAGTATCAGAGTACGCGGGCGAAATTATCGATTTGGTGCTCGAGGGTACAGGAAAATACCTCGTCTTGAACCGTCCAGAGGTGTGCAACGATCAGCTCGATCGATACTACGCGCGGGCTGACTATCAAACGGACGGCATACAATTAGGCTACGAAAAAACTCCGGAGCGTAATTTGGACAGTGTGATTGATTACTTAATCAATAAATACAATTGCTTAGATTTTGTATATTCTCGAACTTGGTATGGTTTATATCAGTTATGGCAGAGAAAATCATTAAATGAAAATTTGGCTACGAATTATCAGAGTGAAAGATTACATTGTCCGGTATGAAATCCTTGAGGTCTCTGCTTCTGCTAACATAGTAACTAATATCGGTGTATTTCTTAGTGTAAATTGATTTATTTAATAAAAGTATTATTATAATAATAAAATTATTGAATAAAAGCTGAAAAATGTATTGTTTAACGCGAACGGTAAAGCTCGTGAGGGTGCATTCGAGCTTTCACTAGTCAAGCCGCCATGGCCATCAGCCCGGCAGCCGTGACCGTCGGCCAAGCAGCAGCCTAGCCGCAGCCAAGCAACAACCTAGCAGCAGCCAAGCAGCAGACTACACCAGCCATTTAACTCAACAGACCGACAGCCGCATCCAGCATCAAGATCGACGATCATCTGCCGACATAGCTTGTAAGCCTTGTGAAAATAGTATTAAGTTATTATATTTGTAATAAAGTCTTGTGTGTGAACCTCACTCGAGCATTATACACTTATTTCATGTTCCTCCCCTCAGACGGCAACAGTGACAATTAATTCAAAATAATAAAGTTGTATCGTTACTCGTGGCAATGTATAAAATGAACGCCAATAAATACACTTTCAATTCAATTCAATAATAAAGTTATTACTCATAGCAAACGGTATATAACACTATACTACGCTTTGTCTAAAACCGAAAATGTAAGATTGATAATTTTTAAAAATAAATTGTTAAGTGCAGACATTCATCACAATTACATTATTTTTCAAATTTCTTCAGAATTTCGCTCGAATCTTTGTTATGCTCTAGAATGAGCTAGGAAGCTCCAATCGAATTTTGCGACGGTCAAAATTTATTAAAATTTGACAAGGAATTCGAAAAAAAAATTTTCAAATTTTTTTACCGGAACCCCTGGGTTCCACGAACCGTTTTCATAAAAAAAGCGTTTTTCAGCCATAGATGCTATCGCTTTCAATGAAAAAATTTGAAAAAATTCAAGGTAATGTATTTCGATGAAGAAAACGAGAAAAAAATTTTTTTCAGATTTTTCAAGGCTTCGTATCGTTCTAAAAAAATTATTTTCTTTAACAAATGGGGTTTTTCGACTCTAGACGTCAGAGTTCTCTCTGAAAAAATCTGAAAAAATTTGAGGTTATGTATTTTGATGCCAAAAATGAGTGAAAAAAAGATCGGGCTTTGTATTGCATCGTAGCGCCGGACATGAATTTTCAAAATTTTCAATGATTTTTTCTGAAGGCCTGAAGCACTCCAAAAATCTGAAAAAATTCAAGGTTGTTTAATTTATTGAAAAGTATTTTTGTGAATTTTTTCAGATTTTTTAATTGCTTCAGGCCTTCAGAAAAAATATAGATAGAAAATGGACGTTTATAGGGTTTTTTTTTTTTTTTTTTTTTGTCGGACGTGGGCAGAGTAAACTCTGCAGCCAGTGGCCCCTGCGAAATCAGACATCCCACCGGAACCGTCGTTAGACATTACTTCGGTGGGTGCCCCTATAACAGCGTTACGCTTGCATCTTCATCTGCCTAGTCCATACATCCCCCATCCACCAAACGGTGATTAGGGGTTCAGGGGGCAGTTTACATCCTTTGATCTTCATTATTTCATAATTGTCACCCGCCACTTGAGTACCCAGTCCCATGTTCGCCGCACGGCAAACAGGGGCCCGGGGGAAGGGCGGGATTCAACCTCAGGGCCTACGTTCCTCAGCATCAGCCTGAGCTCAATAATCTCTCAGCCCTACATCTTCTCGGTGTCAGCGCTGAGGGAACGTTTATAGGGGTGGAGGGGGGTAAGAGGGGGGAGGGGGTCTAAAATTTTGGTTTTGGGACCTTTTTACCATGTACTATACCATACCAAAAGCGCGTCAAGATCGGTGACATACGAGCGCAGGTTCATTTAAAAAATTCTGAGCCTTACCCATATATATCTTAGAGTCACCTGACCAGTTATTGAAAGTATATCAGTAAATGAAAGCTTACGCTTATCTTAAAATTAAATAATGGTATTATAATAATTGATGAAATAATTGATTATAATAATTGATAAAATATACTTAGCATTTTTTCCTTTTGATTCTTTAACGATTGTCTTCTAAAAATCAACGGTACAAGATTTTCTTAACTTGGTATTTGATTCTATGATTGCGCCGTTAATACTAAATCTTGTTTACGTACTGATCAGAAAACAAGTTGACGAGTACGCCTTATTTTAGGAATTTGCCCTATATTCTTTTGATACTTAAAAATTCGACCACGGCTTATTTTTCGGTAGAATTTTCGATAGATTTACTGTCTAACAATCATTTTAATTTTAATTTACGAATATTTTAAATTTAAAGAGTATTTTAATTTCGACCATACGAGTTATGTTATCGTAAAGTATGCGTCTGAATATGTGTCAAAAAATTTATTACAAATTTGCCATTGATACATAAAAATGGGAGAAAGATCTTTGTCAATGAATTGTCAGCAGTTTCTTTTGTTATTAAGGATATTTGCATTTATTAATTTATTAATGTTTTTTAAACTTTAACTTATTGTTTTACATAGTCAATTATAAAGTTTAATTATTTTCCTCGCTACGAGCGATGTTCTGTTCTAGTAATGCGAATTAATTCCAAATGTAAAATAGTTGCGGGAAACTCGGTTGAAGGATCTCCAGACTTTAACTTCATTTTTAGCCGCGGTAAAGAATAATTTTGCCGTAAAGAGGGTAATGTATAGCCGTGGGGTAAAAATATTTACTTCATATTTTAATTTTTTATTTATGAAAAATGAATTACGAGGGCCGTAATAATTTTTCACATCATCAAAAATAAAAGTTTATTTATTTTTATAATTATTTATTATGCATTCATTTTGAAGGCAAAATTTTTTTAATTATAAATCTAAGACTTTGATTACTTACTTGGTTCTCGCGCGTCAAGGCGCTATTTACAGTGTTGGTAGCGTTGCCGTCACCATGACGACCCGTGTGCCATCGTCAAAATATTCACTGTGCGCGTTTACCTGTAGCATACCTGTCGTTGCCCCGTCGAATACAACATTCAAAGTAAAAAAAATGCGAAATTGTCTTTCTCGGGCTTCGAAGATTGATAAATTAACGTAATACAATGGTGGCAACGGAAAATCGCAAGAGTTACATCATCGAAACGGCCCGACAATTCTTCGGACTCGTCGTCGCCGGCGAAGAGTCGTCACTGGGGAGGCCCGAGCTCGCATTACTGGACAACTTTTTCGATCGGCCAAAGTGTCGAAGTTTGTACGCCACTGTCCGGCTCGCTGATTCATCGCCGAGAAATTCGAAGATCGAGCTCAGCGATCGATTGCCCAATGGACAAAATACCCTCGTCTTTTTCAAAGTAAGTTATCCTATACTTTATAAGTAGTTTTGGCAAAAAAAAAAAAAAAAAGAAGGGAAAAATCATTCCACCTGCGACCCGTATAAAAAATAGATATCGGAGACCGCCGTGACCGAGGACAACTTTCGCGACGTCGTACAAATTACTTCGATCGGGGGTCGGGCGGCGGCGACTCGGGAGGCCCTCGCCGAGTCGATACGCCAAGTCTGGTGTCCGGCCCTCGAGGACGCCGGCTACGACTCGTTATCCCTCAAGAAGCTCGCCAACGAGCTGCGCCACGGCAATAATGACTCGACGAGAACGGCCACGATCCTCGACGAGGAGCGGGCCATGCTGGAAAATCTGAAAAACTCCGGCGGCTCGTTCTCCAGCGAGGAGACGAAACTTTACGAGCACGCCGCGCTGTGCTTGAAGAGCATAAGACGCGAGCTCGAGTCGGCGTCGACGTCGAGGTATGGATTTTTTGGAGATTTTTTTGTCGCTGTACGTGGGTCATATCGTGAAAGAGTTGATAGTTCAAAAAAAAAATTGAATCGAAACAAAGTATGTAGTTTATCAATCTACAGGGTCTCAAAGTCGAAATTTGATTTATCAAATTTTATTCTCATATTCTAGGGTGAATATAAAAAAATTGTTGAAATATGATTTTTTATGTAAAATTTGTCATGACCAAAAATCATTTTTACAAGCTTCGTGCTCCGTTAAAAAGTGAAAAAAACATAAAAATCAAAAAAAAAAAATTTTTTTGATAATTGTAATATGTTCATCGATATATGAAAACACAACTTTTGATCAATTTCAATTTCAAGTCATCGGTTGAAAATCAGAGATTTTCTGTAGCCATAAAAAAAAAATAGAATCATAAACTGAATCAGTAATTGTAAATATTGCTTCTTGATATTCAATACATTGAAATGAAGTAAAAATAATTCCTACAAAAATTGTAATAAATATTCTAGCTAAAGATTTTAATTTTATTAGATTTAATAAATATCCACTTACCGTCAGATGCAACTACCTGAAAGAACGGGCTTCGGGATAACAGAGAGTCCAAGATTCGAAATAATACGACGGGGATTTTTACGATTAATTACTATTGTTCAATTTCTGATTTAATGGGTCGGTTTTAATTTAAGGGCCCGTGAAGTGCTCTCGGCAGCAATCACTTAACTCGAAAATTATCGCGACCGAGGTCAAAGACAGGGCTCGAATGCCACGTAATGCGATCTCTCGCCGCGCCGAAATCTATCGCACGTGTGCCGCAGCACAGCTCAACACACACACACACAAACACGTATACGACGATGCACGCCGATACACGCATGCGAGTCCCGATGCCACCCGCGCGGAGCACACGCACGAATCCGACGAGAAATGGCCGACGAGATCCGCCCAAACCGGTGCACGCGTGTGCAAATAATGATGAATGTTTAGGAATTCATGAAATGTTTAGGATTTTCATTGGTTCAATTTCTGTTTTTGAACTGATCGACTCTTTAATGATTTAACCCATGCATATAATAAAAGAGGTCGATGACGAAAATAGGGAAGGACTAATCATGGTAGAGGAGACGTTCGACTCCATATCGGGCCACCTGGACGATCTGTGGAAGCTCAAAGGTCCCGTCTATTCGGAGCAGAGAATGAGATCTCTCCTCGAGATCATCGGCAGCGAGGTGGCTCGCGTCGTCAAAGCCCTCGTATGCAAAGTAAGTTCCGTACTAGCTTCTAGCTATAAGGCCAAATTTTTTTTCATCGCATGAAAAAAACCGTTTATGCACGGCCCGTTACGAAGGTACGAACGGACGCCCGCGCCAAGGACGAGGCGATCTCTCGGGGGGCCCTGACCTGCGAGAAGTGGACAGCCATGTCGGCCAGGCTGACGGGACTGTTCTGGCCCTACAATTCCGCCCACGCCTGGAAGGGCAAGCCTTACAAGCCGCAAAGATGCAGCGACTTCGAGGCCAAGCTCAAGTTAGTACAGCGACATAATGATAAACTTTGATTCGCTCGCGAGTATACACGGACGATAATTGCATTAATAATATCATCGCTGCTCTCCCCCGTAGAGAAATCGCTGATATACGGGCGCAAAATCGGCAGCTAACAAGATTGCTCAACTCCAACGAGAGGCATAGTTTGGGAACTGATGCTCAATTCAGCAAGTTTGACAATATAGAAGGCGAGTATTAAAGCGTAATTCAACTTACTCGAGGCTCTCCGTCTTCCTCCTTCTGCCGCCTTCGTGCACTATACACAGCATCTTGGCTGCAGCTGCTGCTGTGTGTGTGTGTAATATGCACTACCCAATTTTCAAGTAATAAAACTGATGCGTCGCGGCGCGTCTGAAAGTTTAATAAAAATCGATAGCCGTTAGTGCGAGATTGGAAGCTCAACGGTAGTCGGCAGAGACGGATATATTTTTTGAACAATTGACGGACTTAATAGAGATGCTCGAACGTTAATAATGGCCTATTGATCAAACGAACGGCAATTTCAAATATTTTAAAATAAATTTTAGCCTTAATTGTCTTTGATAATTAACGAATTATGGCTGCTACGACGCACACACTCACGAATCGACTCACTACTTGTCGACCATATCACAATGCTACGTATTAATACACTCACGCACACACGTATACACGTACGAATACGTTCGTCGCTGCACACACAAACACACGTTGCACAATGCACGAGATGAAAAATCTCAACTCGTGAGCCTTACATGGCACACGTATGCATATAAGAAAAGCACAGCGCAGCATTGCTGGCCGTTCTAACGGCTTATCGGTACAATCTCTAAAACCACACCGTTTTCGTTACGGCACACACAAATAACGAACACCCGTTGCATAATATCCTACATGAATTGAAACAACTCGCAACTCGAGTGTTTTAGATGCACTGGTATGCATATACGAAACGCACAGCGTCGCATTTTGGCCGTTTGAACAGCTTTTCAGAACAAACTGTAAAACCGCTTTCGTTACTGCACACACACATATCAACAACCGTTGCAAAATGAATGAGTTGAAACAACTCGCAACTCGAGTGTTGTAGATGCACTGGTATGCATATACGAAAAGCACATCGTTCGCATTGCTGGCCGTTTGAACGGTTTTTCGGAACAAACTGTAAAACCAAACTGCTTTCGTTACTGCACACACAGATATCAACAGCCGTTGCATAATACATGAGTTAAAACAACTCGCAACTCAAGTGCCGAGATGCACTGGTATGCATATGCGACTGATCACATACTCGTACGAATGTGAACGGTTCGAATGTGCGTTCAAACGCGCCTTCGTCAAATCGAACACGGCGCCAAACCGCACGAACGAACGCAAACGGCGTCGCTCCGCTAAGGGACGCACACACACGTACGCACACACATACACGAAGCAACACTCACGCGCTCGTGACCTAGTGCAAAAAGTCGAACAACATAGTCAAAACTGCTGCTGCATTATGGGAGTAACGACCGACGTGCCGGCCACTCGGCTGTTCGAGCGCGCGTTGCTTCGTGTATGTGTGTGTGCGTGCGTGTGTGTGCACTGTGCGTTCCATCGAGTAACGGTTAGGCGCGGAGCGTCGTCGTTCACATTCGAGTCAGTGTGTGATCAGTCGCGTTTGTTTGTGCGTGCAGCGACGAACGTATTCATACGTTTATACGTGTCCGTGAGTGTATCAATATGTAGCATGTAATGTGTTCGACAAGTCGCGAGTCGATTCGTGCGTGTATATCAAGTGCGTCGAAGCAGCCATCGACTGCTCGTGCTCGTATTTGTGCATTATTAGTTTACAGATGTATTGCATTAGTATCGAATGTGTGCCGTCTTTCTATATACGCAGCTACCGACTCTCGTATATGCGCGCGTGTCTGTGTACGTGTGTGCATAGTTGTGTGTGCAGTGCGGTTCGAGTCGATCGAACGACGAGCGCATCGCACATTACACAGCTCCGAATCCGTTTCGAGCATCGAAACTAATTCTACCGTTTGTATTTACAGAGCTGCTGGGAGAGGAGAACAACGCCGAGTGGGACCGGGTACGCAACGAGGTGTACGGCAGCCTGGCGCCGATCGAGGAACGAGTGGCCGCCAAGCTCAAGTCGCTGCTGGTCGAGGCGCGCACCCCGCTGGCCCTCGAGACGGAGTTTCGGCGCTACGGCGACCTCGTGAAGCGCGACACCATCAAGCAGCTGCTGCGCTCGGAGAGGCAGCAACTGCTGGCCACCTACTCGGATCTCATCTGTGAGTGCGGGACGACGATGATTTTCATTGATTATCGAAAGAAAAAAAGAGAAAAAAAAATCACTGATTTTCGTTCGATGCAGACGCGTGTCTCGGCGGTCCGGATACTAACGAGCTGCTCGACAGTCCCGAGATACTGCGCAGCGTGCAGACCGCTCGGGTATCGGAGCTCAGGCTGGAAAGTTTGCAGAAACTCGGGAAACAATTACTCGCCGATCTGCCGGGTTACGACGAAGTTGCACAAAAGCTCGCGACTGCCTCTAAAGAAGTGGAAAAGCAGAGACAGGAACTTACCGAGTCATGGGTAAGGTATATAGTATATTATATATCGTTGTCACACAGTCTATTTATTATCCATCCTTTTTCACATTTCATCTTCGCAAACTTTCTTCTTCTTCTTCTTTCTCTCCTCGAGTTATATTATAGACTGTCGCGCTGTGTGTCACTCTCTGCTAGAGAGAGAGAGAGAGAGGCTCCCCGATCTTCGAAAGGCTCTTATACATTTGTAAATGTTAACTTGGGAAAAGTGAAATTCATTCAGCGTTACTTGCGCAACAAACTTTTCGGTATATTATAATGTTTTAGGCAGAGAGAGAGAGAGAGAGAATAATAATTCAATATTTTGATAAAGATAGCACAAAGATGATTTCTCAAAAGATTCCTTATGAAATGTATACAAAGAAGCAAAATTGTAACGCAAAAAAGATATCCGTGGTAGAGATGATCAACATGAATAATGAAAATAACTTTTTCTGTTAAAATTATATTATTATTATCAAGTGCGTTGGAAATGACCTAGAAATGGCAAATAACTGTTTCAAAAAATTTCGAGCACTTTTTGAAATACGATAATACTACTTTAAGCCCATATCACTAGATGGCGAGAGCCAATTTGTCTATAAACTTGCAAGTAGCAAAGTAAAAACATTTGTATAAGTTCAAGCATTGCTATGAAGAAATTGTCCGTTTCATTGCTAACAATAACAAATCGTTAACGATAAAAAAAATCGAGTATCCTACCAAGGGTCTACACTAAAATTTCCTATTTCTTTGCAGATAAACGAGATGCGCGACTCGATACTGAACAACGAGATCACCCTGGGCCGGGAGACGTCCGTCGTCGAGCTCGGCGAGTCGTCGAATCTCATGCGTGTGAATTACAATCCGCGCCTGACCGGCCTGATACGCGAGGCGCGCGGCCTCGCCGGCCAAGGCGTCGAACTGCCGCGCGAGCTCAGGGAGCTGGTGTCGCGTGCCTCCGCGCTCACCGGCCGCGCCCGGGCTCTACAGCAGATCGCCAACTTTTACAACACCGTGGGCGATCGTCAGACCCCGTCGCAGCGTCCGCTGATGCAGGCCAGCGCCCTGGAGCTGGCGGCGGCGGTGCGTGACCAGGTGGGCGTCGCCTGGTCCGATCCCCGCGCCGTTGACAGGTTCACCGAGAGACTGCGAGACTTGGTACTATCAAGAATCAAATTATATCAATTACTTACGAGCGTGTGATATTATATATCTTTCAAATTTTCATAAAATCAAGGTAAAGAAATTCGCCCTGCAAAACGCCGAGCTGGCGTCGAGGCACGCAGCGCTCAGGAACTTGGTTTGCAATTTGCTCAAGGGAGACGCGATCAATCTCGTCGCTAATCAGAACACGTGGAAGGAGACGCTGCGTCACATGCGAGAGATCGTGAGCTCGGTCGAGTCTCGCTACGGTAATACCGGGGCTTGGAAGTTGCACTGGGATCGACAACTTTTGAAAGCTCTCGCTATAGCTTACAGGTATACGTAAGATGCACGAAGCTGCGGATTATTTCGTAATACCTAGGAAATAATAATTAAAAACATTAAAAAAAAAAATCTTTTCGCAGAGCGGCGCTACCGACTCTACTGAAGAAGCTGCCCGAGCTGCGGCTGGATCTGACGTATCGCGACGAGTCGCTGCAGTGGCGGCCGCCACTCGAGGACGTGCGCATGAAGCTCTACACGGGCATCCGACGCTTCCTCGTCATCCCGACCAACTTTCGCGGCGTCGGCGGCAACGACCATGCGGACCAGGCGCAATTTCCGCGACTGGTGCCGCGCTCGGCGCACTTGTTCGGCGCCGTGTACAGAGAGGCGGAAATTCTCCTCGACGCGCTCGAGATATTTCGCCTCAAGTGGCTTCCTCTTGTGGCTCCGGCGAAAATTGATATAGGCCACACGTACGTTGCGTTGAGGTTTTTTCTTTTTGTATTGCATTGTTGGCGCGTATACTATATTTGATTTCTTCCATATAACGCCCGAGGTTAATCGATAAAATGTGTTTTATATCTTTTTCTTTCTTTTTCTTTTTCATTTCGTCGATAGGTTGAAGGGTAAACAAGCACAGGATTGGGAAAAGGCATTCAAAGAGGCTAAACAATGGGCTCAAGAGGTTGTCGAGCTTAATCAGTATTTCTATATATTTTTTTCTTTCTTTTTTACTCTTCTGCATTATATATCTACCTGACTTTTATTCGACGTTTGTTTTTTTCTTAATTAGGTAGGAAAACTGAGAGCGAACGAAGTCAAGCTATCGTGCATCGTAATTGACACGGCGACGATCAGAAACGATCTGGAATTGTTGTCGCGACGTTATTGGGAGCAATTGTCGTTGGACTTGAGAGCCGAGGCGTCGTCGCGGCTCATTTCCATAGTGGACTTTTTGTCGACCTCGTCGAAAAAATTACAGCAGAGATCTCGTACCATCGAAGAGATCGGCGAGGCCTTCGACGCCTACACGCAGATTCAGTCGCAAACGGACGAGATCATTCGCGAACTGGAGGACGTCACGGGCTTGAGCCGAGTCTTGGCCGCGTGGACGAAGGAAAAATTAGACGGTTCGTTGGGAAAATTATTCTTGATCATAAATGCTCAGCATTGGCAGTTGCTCAATATCCGAAAAATGACTTGAAAATGACGATTTGATAGTTATAGAGAATTTCAAACAATTTTTTAACCACTTTGAATACGATAATACCAGTTCAGGTCTCTACCGCTAGATAACAGGTACTTTTATCTATAAATCTACAAGTGAAAAAGTAAAAATATTAGTGTATATCAAAACACAATTTCAATATTACACAACAAGAGAGACTTTAGACCAGTTTTTAATCACTTCAGATACGATCGTTCCACGTGGAGATTCTACCACTAGATGGCGAGTATGTTAATCTATGAACCTACAAGTGGCAAAGTAAAAATAATTGTATAAACGTGAACACCTTTATCTGCAAATCTGTAATTGGTATAGTCTAAACAATTTTATAAGTTGAGGCATTGTTTTCAATGCTTCGAATTTTGATACAATGTTGAGCATTTCAACCAGAGTTCATTTTCAAATGAATGTATTATTTTCAAGATCGATATAAAATTAGCTCTGTTTACGGGCGAATTTCAGGTCTGAACAATGCTCACATAGCTTGGGAGAGTCTCAAGGAGAGACTGGACACCTATCAGAACGTGATGGTCCGTCAGCTGGAGGAGGCCAAGGTGAATCTGAACCATCAGGTGTTGGCGGTTCGGGACGAGCAAGAGAGATGGGTGTCGAAGTGGCTCGAGCGACCCGAGGCCATCACGCCCGACTGGCTGGAAAACATGCGCGAGAAGTGGACCGGCATCGCGGAGCAGCGCCAGACGCTGATAAACGACTGCAAGAAGCTCAACATCGACATCGAGGAGGTGTTCGCGAGCGACGAGGCGATCGTCGAGCAGATGGAGCAGGAGCTCAATTCCGAGGAGATCAATTGCAAGCTCCAGAGCGACTTCATGGACGAGCTGAGAAAGCAGGAGGAGGAGGAGTGGTCGATCGTGAAGAAGAGAATTCCCAAGCTGTACGACTGGCTGGACTCTTGGCGCGCGCAGATCAAGTCGAACGAGAAGCAGCAGCGTCGGAGCGACGGACAAAACGAGAAAGGAACGACCAAGCAGTTTCACTCGTTCATCGAGAAGAAGATCGAGTCCCTGAGCGAGGACATTGATCTGATACAGGTGCTGCGAAGCGACGAGCTGGCCGAGGAGCACTGGAACGAGCTCAAGGACATACTGGGACTCGACGTCAGGCGCACCAACGAAATCACCCTCAAGCACTTGCTGAGCAACGTCCAGTCGATCAGGACGAATTACGACAGGATCAAGGAGGTGACGAAACGAGCCGGCGCCGAGAGCGGAATCCGCCAGGCCCTCAGCGAGTTGGAGGCCTGGGAGAGCTACACCGTACTGCCGCTTCAGCCGACCAAGGACAGCCGTAACAATTCCATCCACCTGGTAGGCGACTACAGCACTTTATTGACCAGAGCAGGGGAATTGAGATTGATCATGGAGGGCGCGCGGGGCGCCGCGGGCTACGAGAGATTCGCCTCGAGGGCGGCTCGATGCGAGTCGGCCCTGACCGAGCTCGAGGACCGGCTCAAGTGCCTGAGCGTCGTGCAGCGCAAGTGGGTCTATCTCGAGCCCGTGCTGAGCAGCGGCGCGGCGCCCAGCGACCAGGGCAGATGGAGCCGCGTCGACAAGGAGTTCAGGTACTTCATGGCGGAGATCTACAAGGACCCGAGGATACCGTCGTTGAAAAAGCTGCCCTTTCACGCCCTGACGAGTCTCAAGGATCTGATGGATAGGTGCCAGAGAGGCTTGGATGATTTCTTAGAGGTAAGTTTTTTACTTTAAAAGTAGTGAATTAAAAAATATACTATTTTAAATTTTTTATTGCTTCAGGAGAAGAGATCCGCCTACCCGCGATTGTACTTCCTGAGCGACGAAGATCTGCTCGAGCTCATATCCGGCAAGGGCAAAGGATTCGACGTGCACCTGTCCAAGCTGTTCCAGAGCTTGGGTTCGGTCAAGATGGAAAACAACAAGATATCCAGCATCGTCTCGCCCGAAGGCGAGGAACTCAAGCTCACGGAAAAAGTCGACTGCACGGACGCGTTCCCGATTTGGCTGGTCAGCCTGGAGAAGGGCATGCGCAACGCCTTGCGCCAGAGCCTCAACACCTGCCTGCTGGAGCAACAGCCGGACATCGCGCTGTATCCCACGCAGATACTGCTGCTGTGCGAGCGAATCCGCTTCACCGAGAGATGCGAGGCGGCTCTGGACGACGACAAGGGCGTCGCGGATCTGAGGAATCTGCTCAAGCACCTGGAGAATCTGCGCTCGCGCTACAGGAGTCTGGAGAGCAGCGAGGATCCGATCGGCTCGTTGAAGGCGAAGAATTTGCTGCTCGAGACGGTGCATCATCTGTCGATCGTGCGCAGCTTGCTGAGGGTGGCCGGCGACAAGGAGAAACTCGGCTGGACGTGGCAGCGTCAGTTGAGGACTTACAAGAGCGTAATACACTCGTCGCCATTACCGAACGATTAATTTGAGAATTTTTGAGAAATGGGTTTTGATCCAGGGTGGCGACGCGTTGATACGCTGCTCCAAGGCGGAGTTCGCCTATCGCTTCGAGTACCAGGGAGCGGCCGTGGGCCTCGTGAGGACGCCCCTGACGGAGAAGTGTTATCTGGCGCTGACGCAGGCCATGAGACTGGGACTGGGCGGCAGTCCGACGGGTCCGGCCGGCACCGGAAAGACCGAGAGCGTCAAGGCCCTCGGGAGTATTCTCGGTCGGCGGGTGCTGGTCTTCAATTGCGACGAAGGTCAGGAATGAGCAAATTTTTTTTCCAATCGAAATTACCCCTGCAAGAAATTTTCAATATTAATTATGAATAAACGATTAAAAGAGTGACCGTTGTAATATCAAGTGCATTTTAAAAGACCTAAAAATGACCAATAGATGGCGATTAACTTTTTCTAGAAATCTGCAAGTGGCGAAGTAGAAGTAATTGTATAAGTCAGAGCACGATTTCAATATCATCAAAAGTACAACATTAATTTTCAAAGTTAAATTGAAATTTAAAATTGCCTTTTAAATAGTTTCAATGGCCCATTTACGTACCAAAAAAGAAGCAATGAAATATTGAAAATATCTATCAGGGTTTCCGAGTAAGATGATTATTAACATTTTAATCCTTTTTCCCCTCATCGCTCGGATACCGTACAGGCATGGACGCGGGCAGCATGCGTCGCATACTCAGCGGCCTGGCTCAAGCCGGCGCCTGGGGCTGCTTCGACGAGTTCAATCGCCTCGAGGAGGGCACGATGAGCGCCGTGGCCATGCTCATAAGGCCGCTGCAGGAGGCCATCAGGGACGGCGAGAAACGCGCGAGCCTCGGCGGCCTCGAGATCGGCGTCGATCCGCACTGCTGCCTCTTCGTCACGATGAATCCGGCGGGCGACGACTACGGCGGACGCCGCAAACTGCCCGACTCGCTGGCGAGACTGTTCCGACCCATCGGCATGGCCCATCCGAACAAGGAGTACATCGTTCGCTCGCTGCTCGAGTGCTACGGCTTCGAGAACGTCGCGAGTCTGTCGAACAAGCTCATCGAGACGTTTGACGCGGCGGAAAAGCTGCTGTCGCAGCAGCCCCACTACGACTGGGGATTGCGGGCCCTCAGATCGGTGCTGAACGCGATACAATTTTCGATCGACGACGAGGACGACGATCGCGACGAAAGCTCGAGGCTGCTGCACGGCATCAAGATATCGATCATGCCGAAACTCGTGGAGAGAGACGCGTCCAAGTTTTTGCAGCTGCTGGCCGATATATTTCTGGTGGAGAGCTCGATACTGGAGTCGTCGTTGCGCACGAACAAGGAGCTGCAGGCGGCGCTCGCGGATATATGCGAGGCCAAGGGTTACTCCAAGACGATCGTCAACCGATGCATACAGCTGAACGATCAGCTGCAGAGCAGAAGCGGCGTGGCGGTGGTCGGCCCGGCGGGCAGCGGAAAAACTCTGATCGTCGATACTCTGGCTCGGGCGCTGAAGAAGATCGGAAGCGCCGTCAAAAAGTTCGTCGTTTATCCCGGAGCTATACCGAAAACGAGATTGCTCGGTACGGTGGATTCGCAGACGAGGTAATTGTGTACATTTGTCGATCGATGTACAATAAGTTAGAGAAAAATTAATTACCATATGCTTGATTTTCAGAGAGTACAAGGAGGGCATTTTGTCGTACGTCATCACTAATTTCGGCGATCAGCCTCTGTGGCTCGTTCTCGACGGCGACGTAGAGCCCGACTGGGCCGAGTCTTTGAATTCGGCTCTGGACGACAATCGTATTCTGACTCTACCGAACGGCGTTGGAATTAAATTGGGCAACGAAACGAGGTAAATGGGCCCTGGTGAAAATGCTCAACATAGCGGGTCAATGACCAAATCACGAATATTAGGCGTATTTTAAAAGACCTGAAAATGACGATTTTCAAGTACTTTACATAACAGTTTTTTTAGTCGTATATATAGTTGTTTTATCATAAGTACAGATTTTTCTCACAAATGTAGTATAAATATAATAAAAACTCATTATAATTAAGCATAGAATACAGAATGGCCCAATTGGCGCTCGCTGCAATACAATAATAGAAATTAACAGTAGAGTATAAGTGGGTTAAATTTTATTATTAAAGTTATATAAGTTGTTGCTTAGAGAAATTTGAAAAAACCAAGTCTTATTTTCTTTGAATAACATAGTACGACTTTGAGTCTCCACCACTAGGTGGCGATGTACTTCGATCCGTAAACTTGCAAGTGGCAAAGTCAAAATATTTGTATAAGTCAAAGCATCGTATTTCGAAAAATTATTAACATCACTAAATTACTTAGTATTTCGTGCCCCAATCAGTACCGGGTTTAAATGGTCATTTGCCGTAACTTCAACTAACTTCAACTACCCTGCCTATTTAAAACTATATTCCAAGCGCGAAGCCCGCGCACACTCACGCATCGTTTCGTTATCCTGCAGATTCATCTTCGAAACTCACAAATTATCCGGCGCGAGTCCGGCCACCGTGTCGCGTCTCGGCATCGTTCATCTGGGCGCCTTGTCGGCCAAATCTCTGATCCAGCACCTGCCGCCGCCGTCCGCGTCCCAAGATTTACCGAGCTCGGCCAGCCAAGCGCTGCAGAATTACTTTCCCGCCGTGGTCGATCGAGTCGCCAAAGCCACCCAGGGCCAGAAGTCCGCGGCGGGTCTGCTCTCGGCGGCTCTGCCGCATTTCGGCCGGGCCACGACTCAGGCCAGATGCACCTACGCCTACGTGACTGCGCTCTGCGGTCAGATCGAGGATCAGTCGGCTCGCGACGAGCTCGTTCGGTGGTTGTATCAGCAGACCGACGTCTGGTGTCCGGACTCGCACAATCCCTACGACGCCCTGTACAACGAGAAGAAGGACACCCTCGATCCGTTCGCGTTCGACGCCAAGACTCAGCAGACCGACGACGGACCCGTGTATCTCTCGGGGCCGATGCAGCGCGGCGTCAACGCCACCTTACCCTGGCTCAAGTCCGGCCGAGCGACGGTGCTGCGAGGCGAGCCGGGCTGTGGCAAGACGGCCCTCGTCTCGGCCATCGTCGCTCTCTGCCGCGAGGAATCCGACGGCCGAGTCTTGGCCCTGGTCAGAGCCTCGTCACTGTACGGTCCGAGGGATCTGCTGTCGAGGCTCAAGCGTGCCTGCGTCAAGCTAGACTCCTCGGCGGGCCGCAGCTACAAGCCGAAGAACGGCGCGAACTTGATACTCGTCGTCGAGGATCTGCATCTGGCTTCGAAAGATTTTCAGGTGTGATAAATTAAATAATAGATATTACATTGTTTGAATGTCGAGTATCGAGGAATTTTTCGTTGTCCAAATTCGCAGGAGCTCTTGAGGCAATTGATACAAGAGGGAGGATTTTACGAGGACGACTTGGAATTCGCCAAAGTGTCGCTGAGCTTGTTGTGCACCAGCGATACCGGAGCCAAGTTTCATCCTAGGCTCGATTCTTTATTGGCTACGCATTATTTGCCGTACGAATCGTTTCGCATCTCGTTATCATTAATTAAATATAACAAAATTAATACGTAATCTCGTGATTGCAGGAAAATACAACCGAAAGATTTGAAAGTAATCGTGGAGTTGAATCTGAGCGAGCATCTGAAAGCGAACGAGAAGCAATTCAAATCGTGGATATCGAGAGTGTCGACGGCCGTCGTGCAGGCTTACTTCGAGATGTCCTCGGACAAGAGCAACAACAAGTGGACACCGCGAGACGTTATCACGTGGATCGAATCTCTGAAGTATTATCCACCGGCCGACAGAGAGGGTGATTTAACGGGCTACCTCATCGACGCTTCCCGGCGAATTTTCCGACCCAAGTATATTAATTATTGTACAATTTATAAAAATACAAATAAAATTAACGCAATATTAATTGAATTTAATTAATAATCGATCCAATATTAATTACGTTTCTCTCTCTCTCTGCTATCTGTACACAGATTGATTGCGAAAGAGCAGAAGCGATTAGAGACGATCGTCTCGGCTCAGGCGGGTAGCGGCGAGGGGGCTGCTACACACCGACGCACCACCACCACCACCACCGCCAACGACGCAGCTACGTTATACGTTTGGAAAAGCAATCACGCAGCGGGCCTGGCCGGCTTATCGGAATCCGAGTGGAAGAGCGAAACCGATAACGCAGTCATGCGATGCATCCGCGAGGGCGACTCAATTTCTGCGACTGTGACTTCGTATCTATTAGAGATTGCCGCTGGTAATACGAGAGCCGTTAATTTATATATATACATCTCGCTGTGTGCGCGTGGTTGAAATTACGATAGTATGGGGATACAGCTGTGGTGTATCGAACGGTACGGTGAATTAATATTCATTTTTTTTTCTTGTAATGATCGTTCTTACGAAAGTAATTATTTTTTGGTGAGTTTGAAAGTGAAGGTGTAAAGTGAAGGTATAAAAGTTGCCACTTTTACGTATTTTTCAAATTGTCACAGATCAGTTCTCAGATCTCATTTTTTTCGTTAATGCTTGTTCTGTTCATTGAAAAATCTTGTACAATCGTACAAGCTCTTGTTATAGTTTCGCGTTGAAACTGACCAAAAAAATTATCGTTTACGAAATTACGAAAAGTCCTGAAAAATTTCTTTAAAACTTCACACGTATTTTTTTTACTAATTTTAAGACTATTTGTACGTATAGTATAAAGCAAGTATTGTTGTGGAACAAGAGAAAGCCCATTGACGCACTAGTTGACGACGATTTTCAGAATTGACCGATAGATGTCATGATCGATTCCAAATAAGAAAAACTAAATTGCTATTATAATACAAATTCTCTGTTAAAGTTTAAAAACAAATTGTTATGTTGTAAATTTTGTATTAAACTAAACTAAAAATGGTATATATATATAGGTAGATTACTTTAAAACTTGAAAAATACCTCGAGTTACGGTTTAATTACTATATATAAATATTTCACGTTGCATCTCGATGAAATTCGACGAGACTGACGCAAGTGTTGTGTGACTTTGATCGCAGACATCAGCTGGATGTGGGGCTGCGAGCGCCGTGGAATTCTGCTGAGCGGACGACCGGGAGCCGGCAGGAAGTGGGCCGTCAAAGTCGTGTCCGTCATCTCCAACGTGAAGCTAATAAGCTCCGGACCAGGTTAATATTATACGCCCGACATAATTCTCCATCTAATCCGCTCTCATCGTGCTAAATTATATTAGAATAATTGCGATAACATACACGCATTATATATTATATCGCTTTTCAGGTAGAGCCAAGATTGCGATAAAAAATGCCGTTCAGTCGGCCGGCATCGACGGCGAGCGAACGATCCTGCTGATCGAGGAGAATCACCTGCGCGAGGAGGGCATAGCCGTTTTGATCGGGGCGATAGTGTCGCACGGCGAACTGCCCGGTCTGTACAGTACCGAGGAGTTGGATGGCTTGGTGGTGCCGCTGGTCGACTTGGCAGCCCGGGAAGAGTTCTCCAAGAACTTGGAACAATTTCTCTATCATCGTGAGTAGAATATTTTTGAAAATCAATCGAAGAAAACGACATCGAAACTTTCGATGCATTCAGGCCTGAGGAAATTCCTAAGAGTCGCCATCGTCGTGGACGCCAACGATCTTCGGGGCGATCTGCTGCAGCGCTCGAATCTGTCGCGCTGCTGCGCCGAGACTCAGGGCCAGAGTCAGGGCAGGGACTGGTGGCTCACCGAGAGCTATCTGCGCGAGCTCGTCAAGCTCTACCAGAAACGAAGCCAAAGCACGACGAGCAAAGACGACGATATCGCCGACGACGATATCGACGACGAGCAAAAGGACGAAGGATCGTCGGGCACGAAGGAGCTGATCGAGTGTCAGCTCGGCGCGGCCTCGCGTCAACAGGCCCCCGCTCGGTTCTGCGCTCTGCTGCGCAAGTGGCGCGAGCTGCGCGAGGCCTGGTCGCGCCAGACCGCGGCCAAACTGAGGCATCTGCGGGCGGGCATCGATCGGCTGAAGGAGGCCGGCGAGCGCGTGGCCAAGCTCGAGGAGGACGCGAGCAAGCACAGGCACGAGCTCGAGGTATTATATTATAATACACACACGATATCGACTTTAAAGCTGCGAAATTTTCAAGTGCGCTGCTGCGTAATTGGTATGCAAATTTATGCTCAAACTTGCGTATGCTATGTGTGTTTGCAGTTGGAGCGTGGGAGGGCGAACGCGGCGCTGGAGCAGATAACGGCGACGATGCGAGGTGCCACGGGACAAAGGGGCGAGATGGCCTCTTTGAAAGCCGAGACCGAGCGCGAGAGTGTCGAGCTGGCGCGACGCAAGGTAAGTGTCTCTCTCTGTGTGCGACATATATATAAATATAATATACACGTGTATTATAATACGTTATACGGCGCACTATAAGGCGATGTTTATACGATTATAAAGCGTATAGTGCACTGCTGTTGCTGCCTCTTGTAATGTTTTTTAATGTATTATATGACGCGCTCGAGCTGAGGCGCGCATTATGTATATTATACGACGACGACGACGACGATGACGATGATGCGAGAGAGAGAGCCTAATTGGGAACCGAGCTGCTGCTGCACCCGACAGACATTATCATAAATTTACCCAACTATACCTTGCTTCGTATACTAAAAAATATTTCCTCCCTACACATACAGGCCGACATCGAGCTCGAGCTCGGCAAAGTCAAACCACTGGTGGATCAGGCCTCGCAAGCCGTCGCGGGCATCAGCTCGGACGCCCTGTCGGAGGTGCGCTCGCTGCGTGCCCCGCCCGCCGCGGTGCGCGACGTACTCGAGGGCGTGCTGCGGCTGATGGGCATCAAGGACACCTCGTGGAACAGCATGAAGACGTTCCTGGCCAAGCGCGGCGTGAAGGAGGAGATCAGGGGCTGGGACGCGCGACGCAGCACGGCCCAGGGCCTCGACGCCGTGGAGCGGCTGGTGCGCGAGCGACCCGACAGCTTCGAGGAGAAGACTGCGAGGAGGGCGTCGGTCGCCGCGGCGCCGCTGGCCGCCTGGGTGCTGGCCAATCTGCAGTACGGCAAGATCGTGCTGCAGGTCGCCCCGCTGGAGAAGGAGCAGCGAGTACTGGCCGAGTGAGTATATATAACCCGGAGATGAGAAAATTTTAAAAAAATAAAAGAACGAATAAGCGTAACATTGCCATTGGCTTTATAAGCGTAACACATTGTCATTGAACTTAAGAGTTTTACCAAAAAGTCATCGTTCGCCATCTATTGGCAATTTATCGATTTTCATCCAACGTTTCGCTGAAAATATAAAGTCTTTTACAATGAACACAGTAATATTGAAAAATTGAATAGGACTTTTTCTTAAAATAATAATAATTAGACAGTAATTTGTTTCGTGTATTTTTTTAAAATTTCTATTACTTTTCGCAACATCGCTCTACAGTCGCTTGAACGCCGCCGAGGCCGAGATCGGCAAGCTGCAGAGCGGCCTCGACAGCGTCGAGAGCAAAGTCGCCCAGCTGCAGGAGGAGCTCGCCGCTCACTCTCGGGGCGCCGCCGAGCTCGAGCTACGCAGTCAGGCGACCGAGTCGAGCCTCGCCACGGCCCGGGCGCTGCTGGCCAAGCTCGACGCCGAGCACGCCGACTGGCAGGCTCAGCTGCAGCGGCTTACGGAGCGTCGCCGCAGAGTCGGCCTCGAGGCGGCCCAGGCGGCTGCTCTGCTGGTCTACGAGCAGCCCGCTGGCTCGAGCAGCAAGCCAAAGGAGGAGGAGCGCGCCCGTGCCATCGAGCTGCTGATAAGCGAGCGCGACAAGCTGCAGTGGCGAGCCCAGGGTCTGCCCGCCGACACGGAGAGCTTCGTCGGGGCCTGTCGAAGTCTGAGGGGTGTGCTCACCCCCCTGTTTCTCGACCCATCGGGGGTCGCTGTCTCCTGGCTGAAGTCCAATCAAGGCGTCAGCGGAGGACTCGAGACCACTCGGCCGGGCGATCCTCGTTTCCTGACCAGCGTCGAGCTCGCCGTGCGATTCGGCAAGCCACTGCTCGTCGAGGAGATGAACGAGCGACTGCCCGACGTGCTGCTGCCTCTGCTGCGAGGCGGACCCCTCAAGATCGCCGACAAGCAGCTGCCCGTACAGGAGGGCTTTCGTCTGTTTTTGGCCACGAGGAGGGAGAATCTGGCCGAGGAGCTGCCCAGCGAGGCCGACGCGCTGCTCACGAAGGTCGCCCTGGGCGCCGGTAGCCGAAGCCTGGTCGAGAGACTCGTGGATAAGGTGATTTTTAAGTCGTGCAATGTTTGGATTCCCTTTCTGAGAAATCATAACAAAGTCAAATCATTTGACTCATGTAATTATATTCACTTTATTCGAGTATAACCATACTTTACCACTTGCGGACGTACAGCCAAAGCCATCTATTGGTGGAGACTGGATTTAATTCTGATTGAATTTTCATACATGTTTTTTTAACGTCAAACAAAAAGGAGCAAGAAACACCGTTGAATAAATCCAGTCGCCCGCATTGATGACTTATACAATTATTTCCACTTTGACACTTTCGGGTTTACAGGTGCAGGTACTTGCCATCTAGCGATGGGAATTAATTTTGATTAGGTTTTAAATCAGCCGCAACTCATTACGTTTTTTTTTCAAAATTCAGCCTTGATTTATACGATTATTGTGACTTTGCCACTTGCACATTTACAGATAGAGATGCCCGACATCTAGTGGCGAATCCTGGCTCCAATTATGATTGAATTTGTTCGGATTTGTTTCAAAACGATCCTATCGATTAAACTTTCATTTCCAAAATATAGCTGCGGTGTTCGCGTCGCTGCTGTGTGTATAGGCCGAAAGTCGAGCCATAGCCGCAGCACGACTCACTCGTCGCTCTTGTTTGCCCCGCAGCCCCGAACGCAACTGTAAGCATAGCCGCTCGCGACAGTCCGCGCTATAATCTTTGCAGCCGCTCACACACTTGGTCATCGCAATAAATATTGCCTTATAGTTCAGCGGTATTTGTTGCCGCTGTTTATTTCTTTCGGCTACCTTTCTCGCTTTCCTCTCCGGCTCACTGGCTCTCGCGGCCTGCCTAACACTCAACAATTTGCGACGACTTATGGAACATCGCCCGCCTGCAACTACTGCCATTCCTATAATAGCTTTGATTTATGCGATTAATTTGACTTTGCCACTTGTAGATTTACAGATAGAGATATACTCGCCATCTAGTGGCGAATGCTGGCTTCAATTTATACGGAAATCAAAATGTTTAAATTTGAATTTTGAATCTAATTTTTGCGTGGTCTCTTAATACCTTATAGTTAGTTTGGTCCATTGGGCCCCGTAACAACATTTTTAAGCATGTTGAAGTTTTCAACATTATTTAATGTTAATAAATACCATATGATAATGCGTCATGGTATCAGGCTAAAAAAGGCAAGTCCAACTGACTGAAAAATATTGGCACTTTGATCTTTCCAAGCCTTGAATACTTTGATGCAGCATTTTATGATGAAATAATGTGACTCTCAAAACATATAGAAATTACTTAAATTGAGTGTCGAAAATGGGTGAAAATTAAGAAACAGTCAGTTTAATAGTATGAACTAGTGTTTAATAATATGACACTATTAGATGGATTATTTATTAAAATTGAATAAAGGACCCATTGGATTAAACTAACTACAGAGAACTTTATCATTAGGTATCAGGAGACCACACAAAAATTTTCAAAACATTTAGTGACCCGGAGAGAAAACTAGACTCTCCTTGTAAAATTTCATCTTTGAGTATCTTCAATATGTACTTCAATTGCCCATAGGCGATACTGCAAGAGACGCCGGAGATCGAGCAGCGTCGTCGCGAGGCTCTGCAGCGCGAGGAGAAGCTCTCGGGCGAGATCGACGCCGCTCGCCAGGAACTGCTGCTTCAGCTGGGCGCGGCTCGCGGCCAAGATCTTCTTCAGGAATCAACGAACGGCAGCGGCGGTCCGGGTCTGCTCGCGACCCTCGAGCTCACCCAGTCCAAGGCCCGCGAGATCCATCGGGCCCTCGAGCAGAGCAGACGCGACCTCGAGGACATCGCCAAGCGCAGCAGGGAGCACGAGCGTCTGGCCAAGTACGGCGCGGTGCTGCACAAGTTCGTGCGCGCGTTCTCGGCGCTGAGCTCGCTCTACGTGTTCACGGCCGAGCAGCTCGCCGAGATGTTTCTGGAGGCGGAGCGGGCCCGGCCGGGCCTGAGGGCACTTGCCAAGGACGAGCGCGAGAAGAGCCTGGAAAAAACGTGGGTGCAGCACGGTGGTGGTGGTCGTTTTTGCGCCGCCTTTATTTTCTAGCTGTAGAAAAATATCATACGCGACTGAAATTAAATATGTCAAGCAGCGCGCCGTATATAGAGCCGGAGTGAAAAATGCATTATGTAACGGCGAACATTAAAAATTCATGCCACGCATGCATATTTTTTGTCACACACACACACACACACACACACACACACACATGTACGCTCGGGATATATAACGCGAAAACCGAAATGAAATTTTATATCACAGGAGAAAATATCGTGTAAATTTTTTACACGTTACTCAAATTTTCAGTATTATACGTTACACGGCGAAACGTATACAGTTCTTTTTTTCTCCGTGTTTAGCATATTTTGTCAGTCTCTCTGTGTGTGCTTGCAAGCTCGATAGAGTTACCTCCCGAGATTACATTTATAAAATATTCACCGCAACGAGCAACATTTTTCCCCGAAAGAGAGAAAATAATGAAAATACTGAATTTTTTTTCTGCTCCGCAGCTTGATAACTCTGGTGCTTCATCACTGCACGAACGCCGTGTACAGGAAGCATCGACTCGCGCTCGCTCTGCATCTGGCCGTGTCGCTGAGCTCGGTGCCGGACGAGCAGCGGGCCCTGCTGTTGAGCGGCAAAGCGGCGTCCGCGAACGCTGCGGGTGGACCAGCGACGGATCGGAACGTGCCCAATTTCGTTTTGCCGGAGCAGAGGACGGCCGTTAAAGCTCTGATAGGCGCTTTGCCCGAGGTGGGTAGTGCACTTTTTTTTTAAAATAATCGCTGTATGATACATTCGACATTGTGCTTTATTTATTATTTTTTTTTTTTTAGATGGCTAATAAACTGAAGCCCAGCTGGACGAACAACATCGTGAGCATCTACGCGGACGACGATCTGACGCAGTTCGAAAAGCTGCTGATCGTGCAAGCCCTTCACCCGGAGCATCTGCACACGGCCCTGGCCAAGTGGGCGGCCCAACAATTAGGTACTATACATCTTACAGCAAGTGTAATTTTCCACTTGGGAAAACATTTTCTTTCTCTCTTCTCCTCCTAGTTTGTATAATTCACCGCACAGCACAGTCCGAGCACAAAAAAGAAAGAAAAATAACGCCCAAAGCGCCCACACACACACACACCTACACGCGAAAAGAGAAGAAAGTATTCACAGTAGTTAAAGATAAAATGTTTCTTTTTCTTCCTCTTTTTTTCTGCCTTGCCCTGCCCCCTACTATATATACACGTATACGATATACAGGAGTAAAGAGTCTGACGCCTCCGGCGTGGACTTTGAAGAGGATAGCCGAGGAAAACACGGCTTGTCGGCCGGTGCTACTGCTGCTGTCGCCTGGAGCGGATCCCGAGCCTGAGTTGCGGGCTCTGGTCGCGACGCAGGCGGCGGTCACGCGCGAGGCGGGCGGCGGCGGCTTCGCGGAGGTGTCGCTAAGTCAAGGCCACGTCGGCCAAGCCGAGGCGGCCCTTGAATCCGCCTGCAAGTGAGTAGTACTCGTGTCCGTGAACAAAAAAGAAAAGAAAAATAGAAGATTTATTTACTTTTTGTATATACGTACACTTATTATATCCACAGAAACGGCAGCTGGATCCTGCTGAGCAATCTGCAGCTGGCCAAGAGCTGGCTGCCGCGTCTCGACGCACTGCTGCGCTCCCTCGACAAGCAGCCCCGCACGAGGATCTGGCTGACCACGGAGGAATGCGGAGTGGGTGGCTTTTATCCCGGCCTCGCGGGCTTATGCCTGAAACTGGCTTACGAGCCGCCCGAGGGTGTCAAGCGCAACGTCAGGCGCTCGCTGCAGCAGCTGCAGCAGCGACAGCCCGCGCTCCGAGATCCCTGCAAATCCCTCCTGGTTGCCTGGCTGCACGCCGTGCTGCAGGAGAGGCGCAAGTAAGAGCGAGAAGAGCTATATAATGGATAAATTCAATGGAAATGATGCTGCTACTGCCGAGGGAATTAACTTCGCGTGATATATTATGGAAGGAGTGGACCGCGAAAGTCGTTGTAATTTATGAATTGAATAATTTCGATTGTTTTATTTAATTTTATATTCCAAGTTCGATCAAAGCCAAATTGACGTAAATATTGAACTGTTCGTTTCGATATCTGTTATAAAGAAACCAATTTTTGAATCAATCAAAATATCTCGGCACTTTAAAAAACTGATTAACTAACGATGTCATTTTGAATTTTTCGTATCGGATGATCCTGCTGTAAGTTACGTGTCTCACCAGAATTTTCATATCTCGTCCGTAGATTATCTCTCGAAGGTAAAAATATGCAAATTTTTGGATGAAATTTTCACAGAATGCTCTTGAGATCGTGTGCTTTTATCAAGATTTTTTTCATACTATCCTGTTTTACCGAAAATAAGCCGTGGTCAAATTTTCAAGTCTTGAATGAAAATAAGGCATATTCCTCGATCAATGCATAAACAAGATTTAGTGTTGATTGATCCGGCAAAGTAATAAAATCATGAAATACATAAAAAAAATAAGATAGTAAAATAAAATACATAAAAAAATCAATGATACCATACGCCCCTCCCCCTTTAATGTTTTTATTACATTTTTGCAAACGAGTACTGCAATTCATTTCCGTTTCGCGTATGTTTCGCCCGTCTAATCCTCCATTGAATACTGCACGAGGGATAAGTCCTCGTAAAAGACGATTACTCGTGCCCTCCCACCCTCCTTCTCCTCCGCGATCTAACTGCTTCTCTCTGCTCTTACTACACATCGGCTTATCCAGATAAAAGCACAAACTTACCTTAATGCGGCTCCTTGCAGCAGCATCAGCGTATATATAATACACGAGCAAAGCCTCGGGGTAAATGACTGGCACTATTTCTCCTTACCTTATACCTTACCTCGTTGTTGTTTCTACACGCTATACAGATTCGTGCCTCAAGGCTGGATAAAGTCGTACGCCTGGAGCGAGGCCGACCTCGAGGCCGCCTGCGAGCTGGTCGTCGTGCGCTCCTCCGGCACGGCCTCCTCCTCCACGACACGCCGCAAGGAGAGCTTGCGCGGCTCCGCCGACGCCGACTACACGGACTGGGAGTCGGATCGGGGTCTGCTCGACGTCGCCGTGTACGGCGGTCAGCTGCAGGACCAGCACGACATGCGCATGCTGAGGGCCCTGCTGCGCTCGTTGTGGTGCCGCGACACGTACTCGGGCAGGCGCAAACTCGGCAGCGTCATCGGTGTGCCGCGCGCCGTGCAGGAGAATCCGATACTGATCGTCGACAGGCTGGACGAGGCGGACTCGATACAGGCGTACTTCGGACTGCCCGCGAACGCGCATCGCGCCTGGGAAAAGTCGGCTGCAGAAATGTCTCTGGCTTATCTCAAGGGTACGTATATATAAAACGATGTATCAAGCGCAGCTCCGACGATGATTAATTAATTTTAATAAATAACATCGTTACATTGTATCGCTCGCAGACATCATGAAGCAGAATACAAAAACGAAGCGAAGCAGCAACAACAGAGCAGGCGAGTCATCATCCAGCTCGTCCCTGGCAAAAACTATCAAGGATCTCGTGGCAGCCGTCGACCAGCAGCTGCAGCAGCAGCAGCAGCAACGCGTCCAAAGCAGCAGACATGATAAAAGAGGAGCGGCAGCGACTAACGACCCGCTGAGCTGCTTTTTCAGCGACGAAATCGACACCGCCAGGCGACTGCTGCAACTGGTACGCGCGGATCTGGAAACTTTGCGCGCGGCTCGCGACGACCTCACGGTACGTATACGTGTGAAATTTAAATCTCGTGGTAAGCTGAAAATCAAACATATAGGGTCGCAAAAGCTCACGACATACGTATATATTCGCAGACGACACCCAAGAGCTGGCTCGTAGCCTGGCCTGCGGGTCCCAAAGACACGCTGGCTTTCGTTAACCAGCTTATCTCGCGCTATCGTAGCCTCGTATCTCTCGTCGGCAGTGCTGGTGGTGGTGGTAATCGTCTACCCGATAGAGTCGAGCTCGCCTGGTTCTCTCGACCCGACGCCTTCCTCTCGGTACTGAAGCAGCACACGGCTCGCGAGCAGGCGGTGGCTCCGGAAAATTTGCGTCTGAGAGCCAGATGGACCGACAACGACAACGAGTCGCAGGAGGAGGAGGACACTACTACCGACGCTTGGAAACGAGCCGTACAGTTGGATGGGCTCCTACTAACCGGGGCAAGGATCGAGGCCGGGGTCCTCGAGGAGGTGACGGCGAGCGCGAGCTCGAGCCTACTGGTGCAGAACTGCTCGATCGCCTTTGTGGCCGTCAAGGATAACGAGTCGGCGGAGAGTCGCGACGATTACGATCCGTGGAGCGACGACGATCGAGAACTAGGAAACGATCTCAACGCCCTCGAGGTGCCCGTCTACACGGACGCGTTCAAGAGTCGACTGGTCGTATCGCTGCCCGTGCCCTACATCAAAGACCAGAAGGATATCTGGCATCAAAGGGGTGTCAATTTCCACTTGAGATCCAATTGAAGCGCAACGTGCGAAGTCTCTCGCAGCGCAGTGGCGGCATCTGTTTTCAATTAAAGCGCGAGTGGTGTATGCATCGCTGAAAATCAAATATTTTTTCTAGATGGAATATATAAATTCAAGAGAGGCGTATAAGGGGTTCGAGGATTGAATCAACAACACTGAGAATTTTTTTTACAGTAGTAAAGTGCTTTATTTTTCGTAAAATTTAATAAATATAATGACTATAAGAAGTAAAACCGTTTTTTTTTTTGACATGTTGTCGAGGAAAATATAGTTGCGTTGAACGATTGTTTTTTTTTCTCGTGATTCGAAATATAATAACTATATACTTTGTAGTATTAATTAAAATTTTTTTCTCGTATTCTACATACTCGTACTTATCTTCGCAGAAAGGTTTCATTTTGTTTATTATGATTTCGTTACAGTTTTTTGTCGTCTTGAATCGTGACTACATTTTCGCAAAATCACACTTATATGCTACCTGCGCACGTATCTTTTTTTTCTCGTAAGTGTTTTTCATTACTATTATTATTATTATTATTATTCATACTTAATATTTATATAATAATAATTAGTTCATTATAGTTGTATCTTGTTTGTTTTTTCTTCTTTCTAATAATTGTCTATACGCCGTAATTTCATTGTATCGAGTTTTCTTTTTTTTTTTAGTATAGAATAAGTCTTTCTAAACTACGCTAATGTTGTTTTATTTATTTTCTTTTATATAATAAAATATATGTTTAGTCAAGACACACGTTGTAAAATACAATATTGGATTAATTAAAAATCATGCCAGAGACACATATATACCGCGCACACTCGCATTCCTTACATGATAATACAACATAGCATCGTCAAAATTATACATATTCACGATATACAAATTTATACAGTCTGGGATGCTAGAGGTTTGTGGAGATGCACCTATGTTATATGATATAATATTTGTTCATTTGGATTTGTCAATAATTTGAGTGCGACTATTGATTCATTTTTTGTCTTGCTCCGACTCATGGCTGATCCATAATCAATATCGTGTTATCCTTTTTTTGTCGGTGCTGAAAAAACCATAGCCTCGCTCGTCTTTCAATTTAAAAATTGGTCCTGTATTTTGGGTCATCCGGTAGTCTCTGTTCGCGACTACCGAAGTTGATAACGATTGGGATATAACTCGGCTTCATGCTAATTTCGCGCGCAAAAAAAAGTAATACGCTAAAATGTAAATCATTTTCCTTTTTTTCATGCGGTAAGGATCGTATATATTCGTATAATCAAATGAAAAATTTCGGTTCATATTGCGGCGTTTATACGAATTCGCGATTGAAAATTAGGGGTAAAAGTCTCCACGATTCCGGAAAGATAAACAAAACGACGCCCAAGCGGCAATGCAATATCTTTTCATTCATTTAAATGGATTTCGCCGTTATATACCAGCAACAGAGAGAAGTTATATTATATATACGCGCAGTGTAGAGTAGTGCTGCAGCAGCCACGGCGCAGTGAGAGAGAAGATTGAGGGGCTGCTATACAAGCGACTGACGCGGAGCCAAAGAACAACTCTCAAGTTCGAGGCAGTCGCTCCGCGTTTAATTCGATATATATTTATATCACGAGTTCTCGTCGTTGTACATGTGTATATAATATTACTTTGGAAAACGACGCGTGTCTTACGTACAGAGCGACGACGATTCGGAGGATTGAATTCACAGGAAGTCTCGGAGCTCCCCAGATTTACGTAATAATAATATAACCGAGTGAAAAGCTAAATTGCCGCGTTGATGACGAGCCCGTCCGTGGGTAATATACCTGTACGTAAATACGAAAAGTTAGACTCCATCGATCAGCGATACACAATAGGATTTCTCGGGGAAAATAAAATATAATTGTCCGAGGATTTATTCGTAACTGGCTTTACCCCCGACTTTTCGAGTTAATTCGCTTCGCGCTCTGGCTGCAGCTTGGCAGCAGCAGCTCTCCTCTGATAAATGCATCGCGCTGTATAATGGAAAACGTATCAGGACGAGAAAAGTAGAGTTCGTAAACGAGACAGATTTTTTTTTCAAGTCCAAGTTGCAGATTTATAGCTATAAATACAAGCACGAGGCGAACGAAATCAAACTCACTCTTGGGTTATACATTTTTCAACGTAATTTTTTTCATGTATCGTACGAAAAATACAATAATAATAGCCGTAACAACGATATATAATTTAACAATTGTAAATCCGTCGACGCGCACGTCTCGCGTAGTAGTGGTAGTATAAGTAGTAAACTCTAATTAAATGTAGAAGACGAAAATTTTTACATCGTTTTCAAGATCATCGCTCGTCAACTCCGAGACTTAAACGTTACAAAGTGGGTAAAAAAAATAATATATATCGACTCTTATCTATGTATTACAAGATTTAACTTTTTATATATAAAAGCGCCTTGGCGACGTGCTCCCAAATACATATACATATCGTACGCAACAGCGTCGTCACGCGTGTAAAACAACAACGTGCGGTACATGTCGTAAGAAAAAAAGCGCATCGTCCCTCGTATCATATTATCCTGCGAGCAGTGGAGCCGAGGCGCTATTTATTTATCTTCTCTTTTCTTCTTCTAAATTACTCGATATACACTCCTTTTACAAAAAACGCAACCTTGGACGTGTGGAAGAACAAAGATTTTTTTTACGATGAAAGTAACTCTCTCGTTAATAATATATATAATGGTTTCGTTATTTTTCCTTCCTCTACGTTACTCTCTATATAGTCGATAAACTTACTAAGGTAGTGATCTCTCGAGGTTTCGTATATGTAGGAGGTTTCGATTTATCATACGCACAACAACATTATGTACACGCACAAGCATACCCTTCTTCTTCTTTCTTTTTTGTTCTAATATACGATAAGAAATCAAACGACGAAATGTACAACTGCGTAACAACGATATTTATAGCGATTCGTTCGACTTTATTATTCAATATATTAATGTAATTATTAAAAGTACTATATTAGCAGTTAATTCATGCTCGCTCGGTCGTTTTTACGTACTTTGTTTGAATTTTCCCACACACACACACGCACACTCGCTTTAATACTTTGGTGTTTGCTGAAAGGATTTTAACATGTCATGCATATATGCATACGCGCTTTTATGTATTTGTAGAAATTGCTATAATTTCCTTAAGTTATACAATTTTACAATAGGAACTCGCTCGACTCGACCTACATGTCTCGGGAGGGTGAGGTGGTGCGCGGGCGGAAGGGGGGACACACGACGCGTGCCCGCCAGTAAGTAAGTAAGTAAGTACATATTATTCCCGCGGAGGGCAAAAAATAGATATAGTTTGAAACTGACTAGAGGCAAAAAAGGCCCAAGGATCGAGGTACACGTTTTTGCCACCAAAGTTTGAAACGATATTCCTTTCCGAACAGGGGGGCGGGTGAGTGTGTGTTTTACAACTTTTGCTCGAAATTTTTTCACAACCTTTTTTAGTTAGATATATACTCGCGTAGGAGAGAAAATTATTATAACTGAAACTTGCGAGCTGTCGAAACGAGCAGCGGAGAGGACTAGACGTGAAAAACCGCGCGCGTAAAACCGAGCGAGTCCCGAGAAATACATAGCTAATAGATATAATTATATAATGGAGAAGAGAGTAGATATCACAGTGGATTTTCCAAGTTGACGATGCAATGCTCAATGAGTATATAATTGCATTATAGTTTGTTTGTTTTTTTCCCCTTTTCATACGTATTAATAATGCCAGTATAAAATTTGGATCATTTGAAAAAACGTCAAGTTTTCAGTTTGATGAAAGTTTTACGTATCCGTGCACTTGATAACTCGTGAAACATTGGTTCTAATTCATAAAAGTTGTAATCGTCATCCCCATTCTGCCGTACTTGCACACGCCGTCGGTTTATTCCGTGTGTATTACAAAGACTCTTGTTTTTATTTATTTTATTTTTTTTTCAAGTCGATAAAATAGAAAATCATGATTTCGTATATAGACTCGATTTCGATGTTTGTTTTTTACATTTGGGGACGGACGAATTGTCGTGATTTAAAAAATCTTTCTTTGCACAATACATAACATTCGCTACGTCTTACAGCAACGGAGTGTGGGCTCGAGTGAACCCAACTCAAGCTATCGTGAATAATACATAGATAAATAAATTATAAACCAATCGGATCGGGGCAATTGTTTTATTTGCGCGCACAGTTGGGGTCGATTTTCTAAAGAACGGGCACATTGACTAACAATCAAAACAGTCAATTTTAATTCAACCATTGGTCCGTACAAAAATGTCAAAATGAAAAGTTAATTTCTAGTGACCAGAGGCAAACATTACACTCTCCCGCACACACTCGACAACAAGAACAATACATTTTTATACTTTTAATCTTCTAAAAGTAAAAGATTCAACAAATAACGACGCCGCACCATCTTTAACAGTAGCGAAACAAAACAAAAACAAAAATAAAAACAAAATGCAGAAGGAGAAAAAATGGAATTCGGTCAACCGGTGGGACTGTTTTTATAATTTAACGACGCATAATTACGTGTGTAGTGGCGGTGGCAATTTGTCGAAATAGTAAAATCAATGACACAGACGCGCTCAGAGTTCGCGAACGCGTCGTCCCGAAGGTGTATATAATTAACTCTTGTGTGTCGTATAGCTTTTCGGCCGGCGTGTGTGTACGTTATATACATATTTTTTTTTTACTCATTGATTGTCGCGACTTTTATTGCTTTCAAAACCTAAAAAGAGGATACGAGGAACACACACACACGCTGATCGAACTTTTTTTGTTTTCTCTTAATAATCTCATGATAGAGGAAGGCAATGTTGTGTTAATATCTTTTTTTTTTTTAGTACGATTGTTTTTCGATTGGTTATCAAACACTCTCCGCTTTTTTTTTTATTTCTAGCGCTCGTGTCAAACGCCGATCAAAGAGTTAGCTTTTTTTTTGGTGTGCTTCGACTTTCAACTTATTGACACATTGCAAATACTCGGAAAAATTGGACGAGAACAGGATTAGTACATGAGCAGTTTGTTTTTTGTTCGTTAAAACTAATAGTCGTATAAGAAACGTACGTATTGTAAACATTTAAATAATATTTTATCTAAATCTATGTTGGTGTATAAATTTAGGTCAAAATATACATTTAGTTTATAAATACACGAATTGAATTAATCTATCGTTTAGGAATATTTGGTGCAGTTATTGGAATTAAGATTAAATATTTTAAATATCTGGACCACGAGTTTGCAGTTTGAATACGTAAAAATGTGCGATTTCGGTTTATCCGCGAATTATTGAATCGTTGGAGATTTCATTGAAATACTTTTCTTTCTCTTTTTTTTTACGGTACAAATATTATATACGTCAATTACGCGATCTTTGAAAAATTTTACTCACGAATTATAAATACACGTACAGTAGTTATGAGCGATAGTCGCGACGGATAGAAAGAGAAATTAAAAATAATAAGTATATTTGATCTATAAAAATTATCGTTCGGACAAGTTTTTTCGAAAAAGAACACGGATTGATCTTGACAAAACGACAAGTACATATTCTCGGAACGAGGTTAGAGGCGACTTACATTACGCGTCGGCTACTATATTACTCTACTGCCCAAGTGGGTTTCAGCACTTTCTCGAAATACTTCATTATTAATTCATATCATAATAATAATAATTTTATATTTACAACTCGATATCTCGTTATACCGAAGAATTCGAATTTTTTCAACGTGTACAGTGCTATAACAATTCGTTACGATATTTCATATTTATATTTATATTATGCCTATTTTTATATTATATGATAAGACAAAACAATCAGAACAAAGAGACGAGGGTGGGCCGAGAGCAAGGAGTCGCTCTCCTCATAAATATACATTATTACGCCTATCTATATTACAATTTACAACGATATTTCGATCTGCGGGTCGTGAATGCGCGCACACGCGATAATATAGTACCGCAACGTTCGATATTATGATACACACACATCAAGATCCAAGACTTTTTTAAATTTTATTTTGTTTATCACAAATAATCTATTCGTAATTATTTATACTATTATTATTATTAATAATACGTAATCGTTTTTTTTTTTTTTAAATATTATTTAACAATGTATTTTCAGTATTATTTTTTGTAATAATAACAGTTTGTTTTTTAAATGGTTCAGCGATAGACCGCCTCTAATAGCTAATTGGTGTTCGTACGTTGATCCCTCTTTTACATAATTGGTACTGAATCGAATACCCGCTAGTCGTGCTTGCCTTGTTCTTTATTTGTTGCTTCTTCTTCCCTGCTTTTTTTGTTGCTGTTGTTTCGTTACGGTTGCGTCGCGACTTTTTATTAAAAAACGTCCGTTACGGTGTCGTTTGATAATATTGTATCAACTCGATCGATCGATGCAAATAATACCGGTGTTTGTTTTGTCTTTTACGTTTTACCAAACTCTAACCCGTCGTGTAGGATCACCCGTTCATTTACATGTATTATACAAAAAATCACAAATTTTACGAGGATAATATTTTTGTTTTTTAAACTTTTGGAGGTAGAAATTACGATACGACATTGATTTTTGAATTGTATTGAAAAAAGCGATCGATTATGTAAAAAAACGCCGATCAGAAAGTGGGTAACCGTAACTTTGACCGTACCCCCGAGGATCTTTTAGGGCTCATCTCGACGAATCATTTTTTTTTTCATCACGCACACGTGTTCGTTCGGAAAAATTCTCCACCCGTTTATTTATCGACTAAAAGTCCAGTGATATGAATATACGTGTCGTCGAAGACGTTGAAAACGAATTGGCTGTTAATCTGTTACTTCTCCGTTAATTATCTAAGTTAATGTTTATCATTAATCATTAATTTCAATTATCGTTTTATACTTTATAATAATTATGAAGTGTGTAAACGCTTTATAGAAATGCATTCGATTTAATCATTTCGTTAGTTTCGAAGAATTATACGATTAATGCAGAATATTTAAAAATCCGTGGCGAGAGAGATTTTATTTTTTATTTTATTTTACTTTAAATGAATTTCGCTCGTTCCGCTCCGGCGCCACATTCATTTAATATAACGAATTATATTATATATTCCACGTAAGTAAACGCGCAGTGAGTGGTACAGTTTTATCATTATTTTAGTTTCTTTTTTTTTTTTTAATTTTACTTCAATTTGATAAAATGTTCTTTTTTTTCTACCGCGCACTGCCTCCCATTCAGAAGCAGCAGCAGCGGCAGCAGCGGCATGAGCAGTTTTTTCGTTCGAGCCTGCGGGGGCCGCGCACGAGGAATACACACGCCACTCTTTCTCGTCGCGGAGAGTTGGCATTTCTGCTTAGAAATTCTTCTTCTGTTCTTCTTTTTTTTTCAACCCTCGAGGTGCGTAACGTACTATTTTTTTTTTTACGTACTTTTTTTCTATTTTCCATTTTTGATTCGTCGCTGCAGCGCGCATCGCAGCTTTTTCTTTATCGTCGATCGAGTCGCATCGATTGTTATTATCCCGCGCGCGCAGAGAGAAATTTTCCCGGGACACAGAGAGAAATGCCCTCTCTCTCTATCTCTCGAATGCTCGCGCGCAAACGACGACGACATTTTTTTGTCGCTCGTAGAGAGAAGAAACTACTACGGCTCTCGCAGCTGTGTTGATCGGAGGCTCTTCTTCTCTATTATATACATTATAACGTGGCCTCGGACGACGACGACGACGACGACGAAGTTTTAGCAGCAAGTACGTGTGAAAAAATCGTAGATTATGACACAGCAGTAACGTCCGTGTCTGTGTGTGTCCGTGTCAAAGGCCAAAGGCTGTGTGCTGCCGCTTTGTTCTTCGTTATTCTCGATTCGTCTCTCATCTTCGCTCTCTCGACTCGTACTAAAGCGTATTTATGACATATATCCCCCTTCTTCGGTCATTAATTGAAATTGTTCTTGACCTGTGCGGGATTAACGGTGAATAAATCACAATTTGCTCGTTGACACGCGTATATATAAATGCATATTTTTAACGATCGAATTCGATCGGACTCGAGGCTTCCCGTTTGACTCGATGCTCTAGATTTTAATGTAATTATATAATATTTTAAGAACGCGCCTCGCAAAATTAGATATCAAAACGCGTAAAAAAAAAACAACAACAACAACAACAAAAAATGTACGTATACTCACTCTGAAGGTAGGCGGCGAGTTCGTGGTCCTCGGCAGCGAGGGCGAGCTCGCGCGGCGTGTTTCCGGCCAGGTCGCGGACGGTTAGCCGAGCGCCGCCAGCGACGAGCATACAGCAGATCGATCGCTTCTTCTGCTGGGCCGCCTTGTGCAGCGCCGTCTGACCCCTTCGCGTGCGTACAGAGAGAGATATGTGTGTGTGTGTGTGTGGCATAGACAGAGAGAAAGAAAGAAAGAAAGCAGAGAGTGAGCGAGTGAAAAATAACGCACACGAGGGTCGCTTTTTTAATTAGCCTCCCTCACTCCTCCCCTCCTGCCACTGCACCCATTTCTTATATTATGATGCATGATTGATTACGCTCATGCATATATAAATATACACACACGAGCCGGAGAGAATATAAAGCACGCGTGTGCCTGCATTATACGAAAAGAGAGAAAAAAAAAAGGAGCTTGATGTGTAAAAAGCATAACTGAGCTCTCTCTCGGTGCGTTGTTATTATATACTACACTACTATATATCGTGTGCTTTGCTTGCTTGCTCGCGCGCCCCGAGAGAGAGAAAAGCTTTTCGATACGATATAGCAAATAAAAGAACTGCCGCTGCTGCTGCTACACTGCATCCGTTTCGGTGTCGAGCTTTTTAATGGAGATTGCGCTCGACTCGCGCGACACGGGGGCGCAGAGAATATCAATCTTTTATATTAATCGATCGACGCGCGCAATCCCCCACCCCCCATTACCCATCGAGAGCTGTATATGTATTTAGTATCGCGTATATAATACGTTAAGTCCGCGCGCGCGCCAACGTTTTACATCGCGCGCCGCTGCATTGTATCTCTCGCTCGATGCATAAATTCACAAACGGCGCGGCTCGATAAATCTATAAAAACCGACGAAACATAATGCACATAAATACGGCTGCGCGATTTGCACCGATTTAATCTAGTGAAAAAAAAGGAAAAAAAATCGACTCGAGCGACGGAAATAGAGCTCTGCTTTTTTTTCTCTCTTCTCTAATATCAATTTCCATTGATCGTCCATTATGAATGACTATTGATCAGAGCTCCCTCTCTCAGTATACACTTGAAATGCGCCGAGGAATTGAAGTGGGCAGCAGCTTCGCGGTCCAATGAATATATCCAGCGCGGGAGAGAAATTACGATTAAGCGAGTGGCAGAGAGGAGGAGATAGAGCTGCGTATACGGAGAAGCGGGACGCTTACTTGTCGTTGTCGACCATGTTGAGGATGATGGGTGGCGCGCAGGCGATGAGATAGCGCACGATGTCCTTGTGGCCGGCCGCCGAGGCCAGATGCAGGGCCGTCTGGCCCTGGGCGTCGATCGACAGCAGCGAGTAGCCGCGCTGATGGAGATCCTTGAGGCCCACGATGTCGCCGGACTTGGCCACCTTGAGGATGCCGTCGGACGTGCGCTCGAGCAGCTCGTGACTGAAGGTGTGCACTTCCGAGCTCAGGCCGAACAGTCTGTCCCGGGGTCTGTGTGCGTGCGTGCGTGCGGTGACATACCATAAAATATATTCATTCAAAATTTGATATGCCTATGCTGTAACTTATACAAATATTTTCACTTGACCACTTGCAGATTTACCGAAAAAGGTCCGTGAGCCATCTAGTGGCGGAGGCTCGAAGTGGTATTATCGTATTTAAGTAAATTTTTGAAAACAGTGAACTCGTCATTTTGAGACAATGAAAAATAAGCTCAATACTTTCGACACAAATGCAAGCGGGAAATTGCCAAAAACAAACGAATCGATTTTAAATGGTCATTTTTTGGTCATTGGACCATTATTATTAACGTTGAGCATTTTGTTTCAGGCGCGGATTAATTTTTTTTTCACTTACTCGCGTAATTTTTACACGTCAGCTGATCCGTGAAAAGTAAAATCATTATTCATTTTCCCGCTCTGCCATTCTTCCGACACTTTTGTGTTACGAAATAAAAAAAAAAGATCAAGTCGCAACTAAAAAATTATTTAATTATTTTTAATGGACATTTAATTCGACGGCAGTTAATTAAAATAAAGAGCCGTGTGGCTGGGAACACACATCGCGCAAATTTCCGTGATAAGCCGAGCAGCGGCGAGCAAACATCAGGCTTTCTCGGCGCGCGTTCAGTGGTACGTGTGCGCGCATCGTCCGACTATTTTGAGGTCCACGGAGAGGCTTCAATTACGCGAGAATAATTTGCCCAGATACATATACTCACGAAATGTAGGCCGAGCCGGGCGTGTGTTGCACGAAATGATGACTGCTCTGACTATGATGCGACTTGTTGCTCGATAATTTGGACGGTCCGTCGTAGTAGGCACCACCTTCGCTGGCTCCCGGTCGGCGTCGCTCCTCCCGCTGCTGATCGGCCGTCAAGCTGCCACGACTGCCGCCGGCTTGGTTGCTTCCCTGTCTCGAGCGCGCCGAGTACGAGCCACCGCCACCGTCGTAATTGTTGTTGTCCGATTGATGGCGATTCGTGTCGCTGCCGCGTGATTTTCGCTCGCCGGATGGCATTTTACGACGCTCTTCTCTTTACAAATAAACAGCAGCAGAACAAAAACAAACGAACACAAGAACGAACAAAAAATAACAAAATATCTCTCTCGTCATTGTTGCATATTAAACCTGCTTAAATGTATAATATATAATAATAATATCGTCATCGGTGAGCTGTACTTTTCATGAATATTCAATGAGCTTGCGAGCGAGCGAACTCGAGAGATCCGTGTATTTACACGAACTTACGGGCAAAAAAATGCACCGTCGCAAGCTCTCTCTCTCTCTACGTTGCGCATTTTTCTTCGTGAATTATATCCGAAACACCGGGGCACGCGCGAGCGATGCTTTTAGAACACCCGGACTAATGATGTTTTATTCAAATGTGTTTTTTTTTCTCGCGCCCGACCAATTTCGATTTAATTAATGAACTATATATATATATATATACCGTATAATAATATAACAAGGGGGTGAGTAAGAAGACAAGGAAAAAGTCGCAGGCAGCGAAAGGGCATTCAGCCGTGGCGCTCGCAAGCTCGCTCGCTCGTCTCATTATATTTGCATGTAAATTAGAGCTTGTCTCTCCCTCTCCCTCTCTCTCTCTCTTTCTATACTCAAAAGCACATTCAAGCAGAGATGTCTTTTTAGGGGGCTTTAATGTTATAATAGTCTCGGTCCCGGTGTTATCAACAGAGAGAGGGAGAGATACAAGATCTACATAAGCTTTTTGCCGCGACAAGTGGCCCGGTTGTCCTCGTCGCAATTAGCACAAACAAACACACAAAACACTCCGTAGGAGGAAACGCGCGCGAGAAACTCGATAATTTATAATTCGAATGCGGTGCGCACTGCTACACACATATACGTATTTCGGTATACTAGGTAACGAACGTGTATGTGTGTGTCGCCGCGCGCGCGGAGGGTATAAATTATTGCCCGCTCGTTCATTTTGCACCGAAAATTGGTCAAGCGCGCAGCTACATGTACGCGTATTTATAGAAGCGTATTGTTACATAACGCGGAAACTTTGTTAGCTACTCTAACTACCACACTATACCAAGCCCCGAAATTCGAATGTGGCACACATTTCCGCTGCTGCTGCTGATCACGCGTGAGTACATTCGATATCGCGTCCTATTATTATTATTATTATCATCATCGCGTACAAGGGATATTGTGTACTACTACACAACACATACCTGGACATATTGGCGTTGTCGCCGTGACTCTGCTGGGATTGTTGCTGGCTGTTGTTGGCCGCCTGCGACGACGACGATCCGGCCGGGCCCTCCTGCAGTATGTAGATGGCCTCGCTCACGACGTCCGCGACGTAATGCAATTGCTCCTGGGCGCGATCGATTCGGAAAAATCGCTCGGCCGTGCACGCTGGAAACAACGCGGAAAATATAATTAAGTCGAGCTGCTGCGTATATCCATGTGCACATGTGTGTGTGTGTTTTGGTCGCGCAGCCATATACATATAGTAGAGTAATTACACGCGGATCGTGGCCCTTCGCGCACGGTAGAGAATTACAGTATGTATGTGTATGTATACAATAGGGTCAAACACGGGGAGCGGAGCTTCGACCATTAACTACATTTATCAACGTTGCTATTGTTGTTGCTGCTGCTGCTGCTGCTGCTGCTGCTGCTGCTGTTGGGCTATTGCATTGATAGTGCACAGCGCAGCAGTAGCAGCAGCAGTGCTGGTTGCGGTGAACGACGCCTATAGATAGGCTGTCAGTTACGTTACAATGTGGTCGGATTATTAGAATTCATTTCGTGCTGCTGCTGCCGCCGCTGCGGTACTGCAAGTCTCAAAGGATCCGGTTTTGTGTGTGTGTGTGTGGGACTATCGCACACGATATGTATAACTACCGAACGGAGAGTCAAAAATATGTATATCATATACTCACAATCGAGGAAGCAGCAATTGTCCATGGGCAGAGTCTTGGACAGCTGATTCCTCAGCGACTCGAGATCCATGCCGGCGTCGAGCTCCAGCGGCTCCGACTGCCACGTCTGGGCGGTCTTGATCAGTCGCTCCTTGTCCGAGTGGAAGGTCTCGTAGTCGTGCATGCGTATCTTCATCAGCGGCAGCTTCAGACGCTCGACCTCCGCGGCCTTCTGCCTGGGCTTGCCCTGATTGCGCCTCTTGGCCAGCATCGTCGCCTTGTTCAGCAGGTTCATGTTGATGATCGAGGGCAGCAGTCGGCACGCCTCGCCGTCCACCTGTGATACGATACACAAAATAAATACACACGCACGCACGAATAAATCGCGACGATCTAACCGACGGGGGGCTCTTATTTCAATGAGCAAACTGCACGGACTGCATGTTATACGCGCGTCAAAGAGACAGACAGCTCTCTGCAGCAGAAGCGGCTACTCTGCGACAGAGGGGCAAATATCGAATGATGAGAGAGAGAGAGAGAGAGAGGCTTGACCGGCGTTTATGAGATTTTCTCTCTCTCTGGCTCTGTTCTAGCTCTGGCTTGGCGCGTTAGCCTCGACGCGCAGCTTTGGATGGATAAAAAAAAAGAGAGATAGAGAGAAAGAAAAAAAAACCAACAACAACCCGAGTAGAAACGAGAATTCGAGATCGAGCGAAACGAAACCTCGGATAATCGAATTACACGAGCTGCGATATCGAAGCGAATAAGAGAGAGGGAGGGAGAGAGAGAGAGAGCCCCGAGGACCCACTCTGCATTTCATCGTCGTACGTATGCCGTGTGCATTTTTATATTTATTCTCTCTGCGCTTTTATTGCCGCGAATGCGAGTATATATATTGAAAACAAAGCACAGATCGGTAAACACACACATCGTCGTCGTACGTACACGATACATGTTTATATATATGCGTTATAAAATTTCATCCCTCCCCGCGCGCGTACGCAACCGAGAGAGAGAGCTTTGATTATTCAGTAGCTGCTCATAGTCGTCGCCCCAATTCATTTAACTTTCGGGTAATTGAAATTTTCAACTCGCCGATCTCTCTCTCTCTCTCTCTATCTATCTCTATCTCTTTCCCATCCTAGAGTTCATTTGAGAGAGCAAGCTAATTACGCGCTCTCGGCGCGGCGGTTAAGCGATATTAACTAAAAGTTTCAACTCCCCCATGGGCGACTAGGCGCTTGCGGGGGTGGGTGGGAGAGATAGTAGTAATACTCGCAACGCCGTACTATCATCGTAATTTTTTTTTATTTTTTCTTTTACCTGCATGGGTATGGTCTTGGAGGTGACGAGCTTGGCCGTGCTGCACTGTGCTATGCTGGTGCCGTGGCCGCCGGCCTGCAGCAGCGGCAGCTGATACGTGGTCAGTCCGACGACCTCGATCAAGCCGTCCTCGGTGGTCGGCGGTCGGCCCATGCCACCGCCCCAGGGATGAGTGCCGCCGCCGTACGAGTCGATGTTGAGAAAGAGTATGGCGTGCACCCGGTGCTCCTTCAGTTTGGCCGTGACGTCCTGGCCGTCGCACTCGAGGGTCACGTATTCGGACAAATCCTTCCAGCGGCGCACCACCAGATCCTTGCCGCCCATCTGGCCGTAGAACATCTTGTTGCGTAGGCGCGAGTTGAAGCGCTCGGGATGTGCCTCTGTGAAGAAGAAGTTGACGTGTTTGCGTTTCGATATATATACGAGGGTTGTCGAAGTAATTAATGTTCGTGTTGTTCTTGAATCGATCAAAGTTGACAAATTGCGAGGGGGGGCGTGACCTCGCGAAAAGTGCCGACGCATTTCCTAAACATCAACTTACTACTACTAGCAACCATAGCTCTTATCGTTTAATTGAAATTGGCTTAGAAAATCCATTATATGCGCCACGAACTTGTTGCTAGGGCATTTTTCGGTTTCGTACTCGCGAGCGAGATGAGTTTAACGAAGAAAGAAAAAAACGCCTGAATAAACGCGTCGGCTCTGGAATAATATTTGAGCTAAGAATCGTTGAAAAATTTTTTCATTACATTACCGTACGCGCGTGATCTTCTCTCTCTCGAGCGCGCGCAAAAAATATTTCAAGATCGAGCGAGAATTATTATTCCGTTATTTAACGAACGTTATGCGAGAAAGTATGCGTAAGCAGATGTAAACTTTAATTGAAAAACTTTGTTTCAACATCAATTTATATGGATTAAGTTTTTAACAAAAGAGAGAAGGATGAGAGGAGTATACTGTGTGTGTGTGTGTGGATATAATGAAAAGGAAAAATATACCGACGAAGTGGAAAATTCTCTCTTTTTTTTTCATCGAACCTTGATAACGAAGGACGGCCGGGCGAACATATATATGTGCGAAGAGAGACAATAGTTTCGACTCTCGATTGCTTATTTATCCCCCTCCCGCAGCCGAGCTTTTGTACGACTGTATTATTATGATTTTTACATCCGCGACGAGTGTGAAATTGTATTCTCATCCCGAGTTTTTCCTCGCTCGCCCGAAGTTTTGACACATGCACTGAGACCTCGACGACGACGACGACGAAAAAAACTTTTTCTCGCGAGGGCTCGCGAGATGGGCTGCCGAAGAAAAGTGGATATACGCGCTGTACATAGGATAAAACGAGGTTTGTGTAATAATGAAAATTCAAAATCGGCGCGGTATGGTCGCGCGAAAATCGCTGCCAATTTACATGCAAATATCGTATCTCTCTCTCTCTTGTAGCTGTACCTGAAAACGACGAAGAAGAAGAAGCAGCAGCAGCAGCAACTATACATACTCGCCGGGCTTTTATATAAACTTTATTATCTAGAATAGTCGTAGATGGGATGAATACGATATGCTCGTTGCTGCTGCTGCGGCGCCTTTATATATAGGCGAGCGAGATGCAATATGAATATGCAATTGGCGCAACGACGACGACGTTGTCGATGACGCGTTTGGTTTTGCTACTACTACTACTACTACTATGGCTATATAATGCACCACTGCGCCCAACGAACCAACCGATCTATGCTTTTAGCGATGAAATTGCGAGATTTTTATCCCAGCTTCTCCCCCGCGCCGCCCCCCAGATATACGAAACGAAAAAAAAATGTTTTTTTTTTATTTTTTATCTCCGCGAAAAGTTAAAAGCGAAAAAAAGCTCCGCCGAGCTTTTACGTAGTTTATTTCCCGGGTATATAAGCGCGCCGCGGCGCGCGCGCGAAATGCAAAAATTTCCTTGCATTCGGTCAGGCGAATAAAGTCATTTACTTTGGAAATCGATACGGTAAATGGAACATGGAAGATTAAACATGCCCAGACAAAGTTGTGTGTGTGTTTTTTTTCTTTTTGCTTCTTTTTCTCTCTTCTCGCGCGTTTATTTCTGATACACATGGCGCAGCAACAGTAACAGCAACAGCAGCACAGAGTAGTGGTAGTAGTAGTAGTAGTTGAGAGGAAACCCTATATAGTACCCCGCTCTAATATCGCACACGTATACACAAGACTTGCAATTCAGATTACTTGAACCATTGAGTTTTCGCTCTACGCTACAGCTACACTATCAAAAGGATATACCCTACTACTACACTAGTAGTAGTGGTAGTAGCAAAAGGGGGCGGAAAAGAGAAAAATCAAAGGCAAACTACTAGGGGGGAGAATTCCGAAAAGCTTACATTTTGCCCCTTTGGCGAAAAAAAAGAGAAAACGTTAAAAGAGTTTTCCTGAATTCTACTCGCGCGCGGATGTACACGAATTTCTGTCATAATAAATGAGATAGATATTCGCTGTAAAAAGCTGCTGCTTCCACCGACGCCGCACCTTTAAAAGCCTGTCAGCCAAAGCGATTCAAAGGCTAGCTGCTGCTGCTGGGGCTAGGACTGGGGCGCGCGCTCACGTCGGTGTAATGTATTCTTAATGACAAATTGAATTAAACGCTACAGTCACACTTTCTCCTACTCCGCATAATATATCTATGTATATTTCATCACCTTTCGTCCTCCTCCTCTCAAGACAACGATGGTATAGTCAAAAGTCTGAAAGCTCAAGCTTGTGTATTACATCTCTTTCTCTCCCTCCCTCTCTCTCGCTTCCGTCGTAAAAGCTATATTATGTTTCGCCTCTTAAGTGCCGACGCTGTCACGAGCGTATACGTAACGCTGCTACTGCAACACTTCCTGGCTCGCTTCGGGGATACTCGCGGCGATGAAATTATCACTTTGCGATTACCCCCGCACATCTGCACATTTTATATTCCGGACAAAAAACGAAGGAAGGAAGGAAGGAAGAAGGAAAGGAACGACTGCGCGATATTCCCTATACGTCAGCCTACTTATTTTCAGCGATATATCGCGTGAGACAAAATGCGCGTAGGGAAAATTATAATTAACAATTACTTTAGCTCCGAAAGTTAAATCTCACAATGCTATAATTAAGTATAAACACGATTAAGAACATCTAAATTAGTTTCTAAAACTTTGATTAATGAGAAAATGATTATTACGTGCGTATATACGATGTGCACCGTATATCGCGAACGCAGCATTATTACAATATCAAAATTGCACCGGGTGAGATTGGATGATTTTCGAGCGAGAACAAAAAAAAAATTTTATATATATCGTTTACTAGGTCAGTAACGGCAGCGGCGGCACGCGAAAGCGCAACCCCGAGCGCGCGCGCACACTACCAGCGCCAGCCTCTAATAGAGCATTAAGTTCCGAGGCATGAACTTTAAGGCCGCGGCAACGGGGCAACAAGAGCAAGAGAGAGAGAGAGAACACAACCATCGACGAGGATAGGCAGTTGTAGTAGTTGTAGTAGGTAATCCGATCGTTACACGCTGATTCGATTATTATCTCGTAGTACTTTGAGCTTTTTTTTTTATTTTGTTTTTCCACTACTACTGCCTGAGAGATAGGCGATCGAGCGGCGCACTGCACTCCGTGGAGCTATTATAGGGAACAATCAGGCGCGAGAATTGATGCAAGCAATCGACCGTGTACAGGCAGATTAGATAATACTCGTGATTTATCTCCTATAATTGATCTAGATTTTTGAAGTTTATCGGGCCGGGCTTTTTGTACCCTATAAAAGTTTTGTACGCGCGGGTAAGCGTGACGAAGATACGGAGTTATTTCGAGGGCAGAGGAGAGTTGCGCGCTTGTTTCGACAAAAACGAATCAATCCGCGGGATGAAATGGTAGAAGTGCTCGATATTCGATGGCTTGTTTTTGGCCGACGATAAAAGTTTCTTGGACACGAAATGGCTATTAGAGCTAGAAACGCACGAATGTAACGTTTTTCTCAATATTTTATGGCCTCATAATGCTCCGCGTTTTTTTTGCCGGTCAGTAACTACAAGTCAAGATTGAAGCTTATCATTTTTTCAAAACGTGCTTTGCCTTATACAAATGTTTTTACTTTGCTACTTGCAGGTTTACAGATAAAGCTACTCGCCATCTAGTGGTGGAGACTTGAAGTAGTATCAATTACCATTTTTAGGTCATTTAAAATGTACTTCATATTTTTAACTGTAACTGAAATATGTAACAGAAAAAGTCAATCGATGGTAATGCAATTCAATTTAAACATCTCGAATTATTCACTTTCCCGTGATCGAGTCATCGCTAATATTCAGCGTCTCTACCACCGGGGGCGATATCGCAAACGAAAAAAAAAAATGCCGCGTCCAAACCACACCAACCTCTGGCCTCGTGAAACTCCAGCGCGATGTGGGCGTCGACGCCCAGCGAGAAGTAATTGTTGACGACGTTGAGGGGGAGATTCTCCTTGCCCTTGGCCGCGTCCTCGTCCTGGCCCGAGGCGTCCGGGTTGCGCTCCACCAGCAGCTGCCACCTGTCCAGTATCGAGATCTCGCTCTCGGCCATGCTCACCAGGATCTTGCCGATGGGCTCGTCGGTGTAGCCGCCGCCCCAGCCCAGGGCGCGGGCGAGATCGTTGCCCGTGCCGAGGGGCAGCGTGCCTACGGCCGGGGCCGGATTCGCCCCGATCTGATCGAGCACCGAGAGGACCCAGCCGACGGTGCCGTCGCCGCCGCACGCCAGTATTCGTAGATTTGGCACTTTCTTGAACAGCTCCAGCCTGAAAAGACGAAAAATGATATTAAAATATAAAATGACAAATTTTAATCTTTTCCCTTTTTTTCGTTCGAGCTTTTTTGATTACATCCGCGTAGAAGCATTTGAATCCTTTTTTGTCGTAAAGCTCATATTGTAAAATGTAAAAGAAGAGGCAGCAGCAGCTGCTGTCTCATGAATTTTTTGTCTATAGCTAAAAGCGCAGCTCACAGAGAGAGCATTTCATTCGCTGATGAATATAGCCCCCGCATGTACCGAGCTCATCAAAGCCCATCCCCGGCGGTACACAGGGCTGCCTTACTACTATTCCTCGCTCTTTTATTTCTTTCATGTTCGACGTGTATAAATTAGCTTACACGGAAGAGGAGAAAGGGTCAAAGAGAGAGAAAGAAAAAGAGAGAATGGCGCTCGCGCGCAGGTACACGGGATAGATAGAGAGAGAAAAAGGGCTGGAAAAAGGGCGGAAATGAGGCATTAAGCATTAGCGAGCGAGCGAGCGGAGAAAGTTTTATTATTTGGCTAATTCGAATATCGTTATACCGACTACTTTTCCGCGTGCCGAGGCGCCGCGCGCGCGTAGCTATTTCAAGATGAAGTATAAATATATATCGAGGCATTCATCGCGAAAATCCATAAAGTTGGCTAAAGCTCTTTTATCTCGCGGCTACGTCCCAAGGCAGCAGCAGAGTCTCGAGTCTTCCTTGTTTATAATATATATACGTACTTTTTTTTTATTTCTTCACCCCCTCGAGACGATAAAAAAGCAATTGAGCAAGCAAGGTAAGCGCGAGAGACAGTACAGCAGCGGTGGAGGAGGAGACAGAGAAAGAAAGCTCGCGAGAAAGTCGGACAAACCTATTTAATAATTCAGACGGCAGAGAGCGAAAATAGATCACAGTCTTTCATATGCATGTGTATATAACGCGAGAGCCTTATATACACTGAATAAGCGGCGGCGGCGACGGGTGGGTGGGGGAGGGTTGGATAGATGTGTATAGGCGCGCATTAACGAGATGAAAACAAGGTGTTTCAGCGGGTCTTTTTTGTTCGCGCGCGCGTGCCACCCCCGCGCGCGTCACGGCTACCTTTTATGAAAAAAAAAAAAATTATTAGCTCGAAGTAGATCGATCGCGGTAGCGAGCGAGCATGCCGCTGCCACCGCGAGCACACACAAACACAAACACACACGTCGAAAGAATAGAGGGAGAAGCAGAAGAAGAAGTAGAAGAAAAAGAAAAGGTGAGTTTCCAAGATACTCGAACCATTTCTCGAAATAACTCTTGAAATTCTAACTCGGCATCGATCGTCTATATATATCATCATCATCATCATCACGTATTGCTTCGATATCCACTTTAACTATATACGTGTGTGTATACTCGCACCGAGGCTATCTTTTCTAAATAAAATTCAAGCAAATACCCCCGGCGGCGAGTACGTGAGATATATAAAAAAAAAGGTATGCACGTGTGTGTGTGTGTACATATAGACAAAGGCATACGTGAAACTGAGCTGAAACGATTCGTACCACGCTTATATACATATATGCTGAAAAAAAGAAAAGCACTTGTAGCAGAAGTAAAAAAAAAAGAAGAAAGAAAGAAACCTCGATAGTAGCAAGTAAGTACATATACATTTCTTGCCTATACTACTTACTACAACCGCTGCCGCCGCTGCGATTCGTGACCGAAATAATTTTCAACTTTTGATTAAGCAATCGAGCATCGAGTCGTCGTCGTCTTAATTAAAATGCCTTCTCTCTCATTCTCTCTCTCTCTCTCTCTCGTCCCCGCAAAGGACCGCGGCGGCACAATATTGCTTATATATGTTAACTATGTGTGCGCTGCCTGGCGGCTGGCTCTACTGCTGCACGAGCAAACGAGCTGAGCTGAGCTAGCTAGCAAGCGCGCGAATAAAAACTTTGAAAACTTAATTGGGTAAAAGCCGTGCCCGTTAAAATCCTCGCGGCTCTCTCTCTCTCTCCCTCAAACGAGTCGTGTATATTTGTACAGGAAACTGCCGTCGCTGCCGTACTCTTGTAAGCTCTGTCTGCTGCTTCAAAGTCATTTAGCACGGGACGCGGCGGAGTAGTAGTAGTAGTAGTATTACGCGTTGGTTACAACATTTGTGCTTTTTTATAAAAGCAAAAAAAATAGGAAAAAAAACAATGTTTTACATTTTGCTTTCTTTTTTAAATGTAACAACGTACAATTGACAAGGTGGAAATTAATATCCGTTGTGAGTTTGCTAATTACGCAATGAAACGTGGCTTTGTACATACGCATGTAAATGTAATGAGTCGGTGTATTGTAACTACGTTGCAGGCGGTAAACAATATTTTAATGAAAATTTCGCGAAATTCAAAGCTGTCTCTAGCCGCAAATAAATGTACACAAAATAACGAATGAAAATTATTAACGATCATTACGAAATATACTGACCCCATTTTCGGCCCGCCCTGCGTCAAGTCGAACACCTGTCGGGGATTCAGCAGCCACTGGAACTTTTGCAGCAGCTTGGCGCCCTGATTGCCGCCCGAGCGCGGATTGATGAACACGAGGACGGGCGTGACGCTGCTCGTCGGTATGGGCTTCACCACCCACAGCTTCAGCGGATCCTCCTTCTCCTCCTCTCCACCTTTGGCCTCCTTGGATTTGGGTCCGCGCTTCTTCTTCGGGGATTTGCGCAGGCTGCTCTTGAAGGCGCCTCGCTTGGGCAGCTTGACGATCCACGAGGGCGGCACCATGATGGACGAGTGCAGGCCCAAACGACACTCCTCGCCGATGCGCTCGGCGTTGAAGCACGACTCGCGATTGTGATAGGCCTGCTTGCACCAGCTGCAGCCCACAGCGACGATCTCCTTGCTGCTGAACGACAGCTTGGACTGGAAGCTCTTGGCGCAATTCGTGCACTTGCCCTTCTGGGAGCGACGATGGACCCAGTGGTGCTGGGTGACCTTCTGCTCGCGATACTGGCGCACGCCGACGTCGCGAAACGAGGGCTTGCAGGCGAAGTTGAGGGCCGAGGTGCAGGCCGTGTGCACGACGACTCGGCAGGCCGAGCACTTGAGACGTGCCCCGTGTTTCTGCGAGCAGACGTATCGATGTAAGTTAAAATATCAATGAAATTTGAAGGAAGAGATTCGAGAAACTAACCGAGCAGTCATTGATGTAGCAGAATTCACCGGAAGCCGCGGTCGGCACCCACAGATGTTCGCCGTTCAGCGAAGTGCTGCTCCAGTCGGGCGTCGATCTGAGCTCGCGTTGGCCAGCTCCCGCTCCTCCGTCGTCTTTTTCGCTGCACAGGGAGAGAGAACGACAGAACAAAGGACGAATTAGAATAGGTAAACAATAAAATAATGTAACATTTAATCATGCAACGACATGCATAAAATTATTGCAGTAATAATCATAGTAATGGGAAACATGCAAATAAAATTTCCCGTCCAATTTCCTGTTCGAGAGATTCCGGGTGAAAAATGATACTCGTTACGCGTCGTCTCAAAGTTTCGATTAGTTAATTTTCAATGTAAGGATATAAATCGAACGAGTGACACTTCATGAATGCTAATTCCTTATAACGCCTATTTCCAAAGTTTTCTATACGTACATATGTATAAACTCACTCTCGACTTGGCTCGATAAATCTTTTTTTAATCGAACATTTTTTCCACGGCTACTCGAGCTGCATTTTAAAAGGTACATTACATCGCGCCGCGATTTTTTTTTATACAGTATATAATACGAGAATCCTCTTGATTCGACAGAGAGAGAGAGAGAGAGAGAGAGAGAGACGATCTTTTTTAAATTTTAATTAGTAGATTATCAGGTGGGAATCGCTACGCCACCGCGCCACAAAGGGACGTGCTCTCGTGCAATATTCAAGTATTCGCAGGTGTCGAAGGACTTATATCATCTCCATCCGAAGCGCTAAATTTTTAATTAAGGATTTTCATTTCCATTACGAGGAGAGCGAATATTCGAATTTTTGATCGAGGACATACGGAGTAGATCTCTCTCTCTCTCTCTCTCTCTCTCATCCATAACCAATGACGTCTTTCATCGTGATACACTACTATAAATTGTACCAGACGACTCGTCCGCGAGATAAAGTTTATTAGCTATTCCGTATAGATATATGTATCGGATCACACACACATACACATAAACGACGCGTCATAAACGCGGCCCAAGTCGTATTGTATCCTACGTGTACACGTTGATATATGTATAAAAAAAAACTTAAACTTATTTCAATTGCGCGGGAAATTTTTATAGCTAAAATTTATCAGTTTACCCTAGAAATAAAAAAAGAAAAAAATAGCAGCAGCAGCTGCCGAGCATTCGTCGTAAATAGTTTTTTCTCCTCGTATATAATGTTCGCAATAATGGTTGGTCTCGGCTATTCCAACGCGTTTATACTCTCGGCCGGTTGAATTTTAAACGTTTCGAAAATGTTTATACTTGAAAAAATTCAAAGAACTTTCCAACTGTAAATTTCATGTTCAGCAGATCAAACTCTCTCTATACGCGTAATCTCTTCTTCTATTTTTTCTTTTTTTTATTAAAAAAAATACATGTGCACGAATGCCCTTAAGCTCGTTCGAAAATCTATTTGAGGTAGCCGAACAACATTTTTAATATCGAAAAACGGATGGGGATGGAAAAAAAGAGGAGGCAAAATTCATACGGTGCACCATGTTTACCTTAAATTTTTATTTACAAAGGGCCCTTTTTTCCGCGCTCCCTTTTCTTTTTTTTTTTAACGCGTAAATATTTCCTTTTCGATGAAATACGCGGGTATACGTGTACACGAGTTTTCCGATGCGAAAGAAAAGTAATGGTACAAATATATATACGTGTAAGCTCAATTGGCACAACGCGTAACGTAACATGTGCGCATGACGCCACAACGCACGCAGGCCAACAGGTCAAACGGTAACTACTACTGTTGTGTGCGGCGGCGGGTATATAATATATCGCGAGAGAGGGAGAGAACGCTACGTGTTTGTCGTGCCGCAAAAAAAGAAAACAAAATGATATTGTGTGCGGAGAAAAGAAACTGGAGAACTCCATCGAGGCAAAAATCATGACGACAATAATAATAGGAAAACATGCGGAGAATAATAAAAAAACAACAACACAGAAATGAACAACCGAGATTCGTAATATACCCCAAGAATCTCGCGTCCTCGGGCAGCAGAGCCGTGTAGCGGGTCTGCACGTCGGTGGGCAGCACGATGTCGACGCTCTTCGATCGCGGACTCTGCTGGGGCACTTGGAGCGAGTAGCAGGTCTCGATCTTGCCGTTCTTGTTGTTGTTGAAGCACGAGTCCACGGAGGCGGCGCGATCGCGCTTCAGATCCGGCACCGTGAGAAAGATGTCGCGCACCACGAGGCCGGCCGCCGGATTCTCGGCGCTCGCCGCGCGCTCCCTCGGCGTTCCGCCCGAGCCGTCGTCCTGATCAGTAGTGGTGGTAGTGGTGGTAGTTGGCGTTGTGGAGATTTCTCGTGGCGAGGCTTGTTGCTCGTCTTCGTCGGGACTGCTGTCACCGGGTCCACTGCTCTCGGCGGCGGCCACCTGCAGCAGTATCGGCAGCTCGAGGGCCTCCTGTCGCGACAGGGAGCGTCGCCGCTGCCTCGAGGCGGCACTGCTACCACCGCTGCTGGTCGCCGGGCCCAGGTCGAAGGCTCCTCCTCCTCCGCCGCCGATAGCCTCCTCGGACTCGAAGCCGCAGCCACCAGCACCACCAGGCTCGGATTCCGGCAGACTGGTGCTCGGGGTGAGGGTGACTCGGATCTCGGGGCTTCCCTCGCGTCTACCACCGCTGGTTTCTCCAGCCTCGAGGCCCAGCTCGGAGCCGTCATCGGCCGAGCCCAGGCACGAGTCCTCGTAGGCCTTGCGCACCACGACGAAGTAGTAGCTGTTGTCGCTGGCGTCGCGCTCCAGCTGCAGCGGTCCCGGCTCGAAGTCGGCGAGCTCGCCGCTGCTCCCGATGCCGCCTCCACCGCCGCCGCTGAAGCTGTCGCACTCCTCGTCCGCGTCGTTGTCGTAGTAGTCGTCGTCGTACGAGTAATTGTCGGGCTCGTCAGTGTCGCCCCAGGCAGAATCACCAACGGTCAAATGGGTCTGCTGCTGCTGCTGCTGCAGACTGGCCCGGTACTCGTCGACGCAGGCGCAATGCCAGCAGCTGTAGGCCTGGGCCGGTGGATTGTCGCGCTCGGCGCTGCTCTTCCAGCGCGAGTAGCCGTAGCCCGTGTGGCTGGGACTGCTTCCGCCGCCTGCGCGGTCGATGGCGATCGAGCTCGTCGTCGAGGCCGAGCGATCCAGCAGCGAAGGACCTTGGCCGTGGCTACCGTGGCCGTGATGATGACGATGCTCACCCACCGAAGCGACGTCGAAGCTCTTGGAGCGCTGACCCCCGCCCGGAGGAGGTCTCAGTGTGTTGGCCGATCGCCGCAGCAGAGTACCGGTACTGGCGGAAGCGGCGGCAGCGGCCGATGCTCCAGCTCCATGCAGTTGGGCAAAGTGCTCGGACCACGAGGGCAGCGGTGACTGCGAGGTCTGGCCCGACGACGTCATCGTCGGCGTCGGCGACGGAGGTGGCTGCTGCTGCTGCTGCTGTCCCCATCCTTGATACTGGTTCGACCAGGAGGAGGACGAAGAGGAAGAAGCAGCAGCAGCAGCAGTCGCCGACGACGACGACGACAGGGCGGACGAGACCGCGAGACTGCTGCTCGTGGCCATGGCAATGCTGGCGATGGAGCGAAGCTCGGCGTTGGTGGCGGACGACGACGACAATGACGACGAGGACTCTTGGCGCTGGGCCTCGAGCTGTATCTCGTCGAAGGAGGCCGAGCGCACCTGCTTGGGCACCTCGAGGCTCGACTGGGACTTCATCTCGTTGCCGGTCGGCGTGCGCGACCTTTTGAAGGTCGAGCGCAGCCTCTGCATCACAGCTGCCAGCAGCCTCCTCCAGCCGACTACCTCGGTGCCGCCGCCGAGCGTCTCCTGCTGCTGCTGCTCCGGCTCCACGTGGCTGAGCTGCTTCTTCTTCTGCTACTTTGGAAATTTGTGTTGGTCTGCAGGCGGCTGTACGCAGGTGGCAGGAGGGCCCGGGAACAGCGGCAGGCCTCGTCGGGGCTACTCGGTCCGGGACACCGAGTCATCGTTTCGCCTCGGACACGTGGGTGAGGAGGAATCTCAAGCTCGTACAAAGCTCGGCGGCGAATCGTCGTTGTTGCTCTCGGTGCGACGACGATCCTGACCGAGAATCAGACCGGTTGGTCGCGATGGCGCGTCTGACTTCCTAGAAGGCATTGGCCCGTCGTAGCAGCCGCGCACGTGACTGATATTTCTCACGCGCACAGACACACACAGGCCACTCCAAGCGAACAGGTGAGCGCGAGCACACTGCCGCGCCGTCTCTATATATAACGCGAGAAGCACAGAAACACTCTGCCACACTTTACGTATATATAATAGCGAGACACATTCGCAGCACTAGACGAGAGCGTCGTGTGTCGTGGTCGTGTCAGATCGATTGCACTCGTCGTCGTCGTCGTCGTATATGATATATAAAGTAGTGGTATAGCAGCTAACACACATAGATAAGTGGCAGAGAAGTCGTCGTCTATCCAAAACTGATTTGTTTTTCCTTTGTTTCCTCCGTACGTCGTTATATGTATATTTTTTTATCCATAACGGTACAGCTGACAATAACAGCTGTGCGCGCGCTCGTTACATCGGCGACACGACGACGAAACCCTCTCGCCCGTTAACACATCGTCGAGTGGATTTTTATTTTATTTTATTTATTCGCTGCTTCTGTTGCACTGTCGAGCGATGGATAGAAAAAAAACAAACACATATGTATATAAATGCACTCCGTAGACACTCGTCGACTATATACTGACTGCTGCTACTTGTCCACGCTCCATTCCTTTTTTTTTTTTGCTCTAAATGTATACACAAGGGTTATATATCGTCGGGTTGTAGACGGGCGCGCGTGAGTCGGTCGGTCGGTCGGTCGGTCGGTCGGTCGGTGTGCAGAAGAAGAAAATCGATCGATCGAATTTTATATATATATATATGTACGTTGTGGCAAGTAGAGTGCAAGTAGTATAAACACACGTAGCTCCGCTTCGTCTGCTACTGCTGCTCAACGTGTGTTTTGTTGGCTGACGCATGAATCGTCGAGGGAGAGAGAGAGAGAAAGCAAGAGCAGCAGACCCCTCGACGACGAGTACGCGGACTCGTACTACTGCTCCGCTGCGCTACTGACTGCTCTGCTCTCTATGTGTGTATATATGAATAATATCTCGTGGCGCGCGCGTGCACAGCGACACACAGGAGGGAGTTTCGACTCACATCACGCGGCGCCTCGTCGCTGCACAAAAAATGCAACAACCCCCCCGTTGTAAACACGTCGTCGTCGTCTTCTTCTTTATTTACTTTCTTTCTTTCTTTACAACGGCGACAGCTCTCGCGAACTTGCGTTGTGTGTCACGAGTCGTCGTGTTGTTTTTTTTTGTTTTTTATTTTTTTTTTATATCGTTGCACACGTTGTTGTTATTAGGAGGCGCGGCAGCAGCAACGCGGTGGCGGCGAAAGCAGCAGCAGCAACCCCCGTGTGACGACGACGATGCGGGGGGTCAGAGCGCAAGGAGGCGACTGACATACCGCTAAAAGCGAGGCGAGTCGAGCCTGGCGCGAGCGAAGCGACGTGCAGCATACGACGACGCTCGCTTCAGTCAGTCTTTACTCCATCGGAGAGTCGTGTATATGCGAGTGTGTAGAGGAGTCCTCCCTCCCTCCACACGGTTTCGCTTTCGCGTGGCCTCAATCTACGCTCGTTCACACATACACCCACAGGACCTTCGTATACACACACACAGATCTGCTGCTCGTGTGCTCATCTCTCAATTCTCCCTGTGTGTATGTGTGCGAGCATGGCCAAAAGCTCGCGCGAGCAACGAGCTAGAAAGAGACAGCTGCGCGACGGCGAGAGGAGGAGGAGGAAAGTTGGGAGGAGGAGGAGGGAAAAGTAAGGGCGCCGTCGACGTCGGTCGTTCGGTCAGGCATGCGCCGTTTCGTGGATCCGCTCTCTCTCTCTCTCTCTCTCTCTCTCTCTCTCTCTCTCTCTCTGTATATATACCCAATCCCTCCATCCATGCTGCTGTTGCTGCTGCTGCTGCTGCTGGGGCCACACGGGGGTGCAGCGAACAGCAACGGCACAAACTGTACGTATATACGTAATACGTGTACGTCTATGTGTACCTTATACCTGCTGCTGATGCTACAAGCTACATATGCGCTGCGAGCTGACTGTACGAGCTTACGTTTCCGTAGATATATGGAATATACGCTTATGTGTACGTGCGATGTGTACACACAGGAGCGAGCTTGAGAGCCGCGTACGCGATATGTAACCACATTGATCATAATATAGAGAGAAAGCGCAGCAGCAGCGTATAATACAGCGCATATTTGCCCGTATACATATACACGCCCGTTTTCACGGCATCGAGGCTGGTAAATGCGATGCGCGATGCGTATTTTACATAATATATAATACTATATGCGAGCTAGCTCGAGAGAGAGCGGCGAACCGTGCGCGCGCGCGACGAGAGCTAAAAAAAAATGAGGCGAATTATCAATTGAATAAATCACGTGGGCGCGCGCGACGATGAATCTTTTGTTCGAAAGCAGGGGAAAAAAAAGGATATAACGAAATGTATCGCCTCGTTGTTTTATTCCATCGAGGTATACATTATATACATTTATAGAAAACACGAAATATCGCGGGAGCTCGCGGCTGCTACTGCTCATGCACGTGTGTGCACGTGACGCGTGCGCTGCACTTCGTGTGCATATACCATAATACACCGTATATAGCTGCTGGCGTAATTGTTATGCACGCCGTCGAAAGCTCGTCGTAGTCGTCGCAAGCTCGAGTCTCGAGACTCGTGCAGCAGCAGCAGCAGCAGAAGCACAGTCGAGTTTATAATATACTCTAGGCTGTGCGCGCGGCAAAATTCTGCCGAACTAACTGCCAAAGTCAGCTGTGTAGTAGTAGTAGGTAGCTAGCTACTTATCCCAAAGTTGGGATATAATATATTATGCGAAAGCTCCGAGCCCTTCCACAACCAAAGAGAGCGAGCGAGAGAGAAATTAAAAGCTCGCTCGCTATCTAGACTCGAGCTTTTTGAACGATGTGGAAAAAAAGGCGGGCTCTCTCGTGTGTACGCGCGCGCATTATAAGAAGTCGAACTTTCTCGCTGTGCTTTTGGCTCGCGATATATACGTATATGAAATAGCTTCTCGGTATAACAGCACACGCATGTGTAATATATATAAAAGCCGCTTCGGGAGCACATAGTGTCGAGTTCAGGGATATATAGTAGCACCGCGCGAAGGTAAAGACAGAGACGTTAAGGTATAATAGAAGCTGCATTACGCAGCAGTAGTAGCAGTTATGCACGCGTGTACGCACACACAAGATATATTTTACGTCTTTTACCTGTACCAGGCATGTGCTGCTGCAAGCTCGCTCTCTCCTTTTTCCCCCCTTGGGACTGGCTTCAGCAGCAGCAACTCGTCTACGTACGAGTCGCTAAACGAGCCGACTGATGAATCGATGCTTTCGCTGCGGCGCTGTGTGTATATATATACGGTATAACACGCTCGAGCGCGCACTCGTCCACCCACGTGTGTGCTCGATCAATTTTTCAACGCTGCGAGCGAACGAGCGAGCGAGAGTACAGACGACGAGACGAGCTCGAGAGCGGCTGCTGCTGCTCTACTCTAATACGGCTTCTCTCTCTCTCTCTCCCAACTACTATACTACTCACTCGCTCGCTCTCTGCTGCACAGCACGCGGCTGAGGATATAATACAACCGAAACGCATCGGGAACGAAACACGTACGCATGTGTCGTTTTAATCGCGCGTTCGTTGGCTAATTAAAAATTTATAACGCGCCGCCCGTAGTTTGCGAAAAATGATACCACCACTACTACTACTACTACCTGCGTGGAATTCTCGCGAGCTTTTTTTTCGTATATCGTTGTAGCTAGCCCCGTTGCGCCTCGAGAAGAGCGAATACGAGCCGAGAGGCTCTCCTTTTACGCCACGCTGCGTATATTATGTACGCGCGTATCATCAAAAATTGAACGGCGATACGTGTACGAATTTTTTTAAGGTTTCAAGAAGTTGTGTGTTTAAAGTCAACGATGAATTTTTTGCAAGCTTAGAATTTACGGCACGTAGTATTATGTATACATACAGCAGCAGCGGTATAAAGCCTTTGGGCTTGCGGGGCAAAGAAGATCGCGGCGAGTGTTTATAATGAAATTCAATTTCGCTGCGGCGCGATCGAGTATGCATTTATAAATCGGGACGAATTTGTATGTATGTGTGTGTGTGTGTGTGTGCACGTTTTTCTCGTCTGTAAAGGGGAAAACGTAGATGGCGTCGAAAGAATCGATGCGTTTTCATCAATTACGTAGCTTCAATTTTTAAATAAACGTAAAAAAAACTCATCCATAATTCGCGCGCGATCGTTAATGAAGTAACTCATAATGCACGACGCGTTAATTTTTAATTAATGGATAAATCGCGCGCGATACAATAGGTGCGCTGCTGCTGTATATACGCCATACGCGACGGACGTGAAAACGCCACGTTCAATGAGTGTCGCGTTACAACGCCCGGCGCAAATTAACTTAAAGCTTCTGCGTGTTGCGTGTAAAATTGCTACGCGCGTGAGCGACGTATGCACGTTGTTGTGTACGGCACACAGCGACGAAACGACCCGATTTTTGCGTTTTCGATGTAAAAAAAAAGAAAACCTTTTTCGGTCGACGGATAGATATAGCGATGGAGAGAGAGAGAGCAAGCGCGCGTAAAAGGTTTTTTTCTATTACATCGCGGATAAAGCTGTGCGCTGCTGTTTGCAATCCACTTTTTTTTCTAAATGGAAAAATTGTTTTTTTTTTTTTTTTTTGCTTACGAGTGTCAAAACATCGACCAATGAAAGAGCTTCGGACTTTTGCCGAGAAAAGATAGTTTCTCCGAGTTACAAGCAAAGAAACTCGTTCTCCCCGAGTCCGTTTCCTTTTCTTTTTTTCTTATTTCTCTTTCTCGTGCTCGCAAGATTGAAAAACCCGCCGAAAATTGGAACCGTGAAAACGTGTTCGATCTCAATCTGCCACTATACTATACACTCGGAAGAGTTCAAACTCTCGTTTCGTTTAAAGACGTCAAAAGGAGATGGCCTTGCGGCGCGTCGCGGTGAAAATATTATATATATAAACGACCGTGTGCGTGCGTGTGTGTGCGCGCGCTCGAGGTTATCAGAAGAAGTGAGATGGTGGAAGAATTAAAAGATCATAATTGTGGAATGAAGGCGGCCAACCTGTCCTCGGGTTCCGGCTCGGGTTCGGGTTTTTTATCTTCGCGACAGCGCAAATTTGTGCCGGGCTCGAACTGCACCTTGTAGCCGATCCCCGGTGACATGCCCATCAACCTATAAAGCACACACACAACATGACAAAAAATCACGTCGAGTCTTTGGTAGTCGTTTGAAGGGGGGGTGTTGAAATTAATTGTATGTTTGACGTGTTTCTTGGTCGTGTCGTGTGTCCTGTTTTGTTTCTTGGCCCCAAAAACTTTTGTTGGTGTTCGCAACAGCTCTTCTCAAAGGGAGGGCTAGAGAGTCAATTTTCAGATAATTACTCGCGCGTTTTTGATAAAATGGTAGTATAAATTTTGAAGCGGGTGCGATCGTGAATCACGACGAGAAGATAGAGATAATATTGGTCAACTATATGAGCGAAACGAGGATATTGCCTGGACGTGCTTGGCACGCTTGGCCCGGGGGGGAGAGATCGTATCATAATGCGGTTCCGTATTATATACGTATCCAAAAATTGCAATTAATCTCGAGCTCGACCACACGCACACACAGTCATTGCGGCTGATATATCGCAGCGATTCTCTCGTCGATGAATTCGGACAATAATGCACAGAGTTCCGAAATCAATCTTCGACTTGGCCTCATCCAGTCGGGGATAACCATCGCTATACTAATTTAATCATTTTCACGGCTTCAACGTCGAATATAATTCCAAAGATAAAAAAACTTTACTTTCTTAATAGGAATATTTTCCGCTCTTTTACTTTTTCTTTTTTTTTTTCATTATCGTTTTTGTTCCATAAAGCATAATTTTTTTGTCTCGCTGGTGCTCGTTTAAAAGTTTTCACGAGCGCACATAGTCTTAAACATAAACTTGAAGAGATTAAAAAAAAAAAAAAAAGAGCAACATTTACAAAGAACTTTTTTTTGTTATCAGGTAACTAATTTCTTGGCAAAAGACATTGCGTAAGTTTTGTGCTTCTACCTTGTGCTCGTGCATGCACGAATACACTCACACACACAGACGGGAGGAATAAAAGTTTACTTTACATCAAACGGTTTTTTTTCTAATTATTTTTAATAATAAACAACCGCATTCTTTCTACCGAAAAAAAAAATCAAGGATACTTTTTTTGCACTTGTACTGTACGTTCGTGTAGCAAAAAAAGTAAAAAATACTCGAGGAAAAAGAGAGAAAATGAAAAGCTAAACGATAGTACAGTTTGTACATTTTCCTTCAACTTGGATACACATTTNTATATATGGATACCTAAGCTCGCACAACTTGAGCGTCAATTGCAAGCTATTGAGAGTTGAAGTTTAAAGCGCCCAAAAAAAAAGAAGAAAAAAAAACGAAGAAGAAGCGGATGAGTTTCTTTCTCGGTGTCCGTATAGGTATGTGTCAATGCGCGAAGGCGTATATACTACACGTCTATATATCGCTCACGCCAGAAAGAAGTTTTTTCTTTCGTTCTATTCTCTCCTCTTCTTCTACTTTTTTTTTGTGTGTGAAAGAAGCCAGCCCAAGTGGGTGTGTAAATGACCCACGTGCAGGATATACCCCCCAGATGATATACATGTATAGAGAGAGAGAAGACGAGCAGTAAGTACGTTCCGTAGTACACGCGGCATAGACACGTCTTTACAACGTTTCGCTGTTCCCTGTATCGAGTTGCACTTTTTTTCC